TGGGTCATTTGCACAAAGCTTATGTTTAACAGCTTCAACTTCCTGTTGTTGCTGTTTACCAACAGGTTGATTGATTGATTGATTGATTAAACTTTATTAAAAAGAGGGTAACACGTGACACAACAAGTGTGAAAAACTTGTGGCCCTCATGAAAAGGTGGTAAAAATCTACTCATATATATAGAGTCATTCTAAACAATATCCTCAGAAGGATTATCAGTAGGAAGACACATATGAGGTGAACAGTTCAGCTCTGAATCAAAATCATCATTAGGCAACAGTCGTAAGTTCTGGTGGTGCACCATTTTCAGGCAATGAATTCAATGCATGAATATTAATTAATATTTCTGAATAATGTGGATTATGGTCTTTAAGCCAAACTAAAGCATTATACACTTTATGTTTTCTTACTATCACATCTTTGAATGTGTTGTCTTTGCCTTTTACTTTGATACTAACTACAGTCAAATCTTTAGGATATCTTGGCAAAATTTTTGCAAGTTCTGTGATATTTTGTGGCAAGTTGATACAATGCCCTGAATAACCTTGTTGACTACCAGGTTTAATATAAACTCTCATAATTGCCAATGCCCGAGCAATTAACATTTCCTCAACCCGAGTTAAATTTTGCAGTTCATCTGGGACAGATGAAGGTGTCATTACATTTTCAGGTGAAAATCTTTTGGGATATTTTTTGTCTCTGGAACATCGTGAACACACACATGGTGACCTTCATTTGGATTTCAAGGACTATGCCTCCACAAATTGTACATTGACTAACAATATGTTCCACAGATTTATGAAACTTGTCCATATTATCCTTGGCCCAACATTGCTCTTCTATACCATCATAGGTTGTATGGTCAAATTTATTTACATAATCTTCTTGATTTATTTTATGTTTAGATTGTGGAACTTTAGTAGCCTAGTTTTGTTTTTTAGAGTGTTATCTTTATCAAGTCTCATTTGTCTTTCGATGTCAGTTTCTGCAGACCTTTTTTGTTTTTTAGAGTGTTTATCTTTTTCAAGTCTAACTTGTCGTTCAATGTCTGCTTCACCAGACCTTTTTTGTTTTTTAGAGTGTTTATTCTTTTCAAATCTGACTTGTTGCTGAGAGTCTGTTTCCTGTGATCTTTTTTTTTCTTCAAGACTGTTTATCTTTCTCAATTCTGAAATGTCTGACTCTGTCAGTTTTCTCTGACTGTCTTCTTTTCTTAGACTCACATTTTTTTAAAGTCTTATTTGTCCCTCTTCATCAGTTTCTTCAGATTTTTTTCTACTTCTAATGACTTGATCAGTTCAACAGTGCTTGGATAGCTACTTACATGAATTGGTACAATTTCAAACAAATTGACAAGTTGTTTTGTTGAAAGACAACACAAAAATTGTTCTAGCTCTAAAGTAGAAGAAAATATAATGACAACTGCTGTGCCATTAGGATCTGGCAAGTCATATAAGTCTCTAGCATGAGAGTGAAACATAAAGAAATAATGTTTTATTATTGCCATCATATAGCCTTCTAATATTAATAGAGCATAGCTATGTTTCATGAATGTATTCAAAACTGCTGAAAGAATTGTGTGTGAGACTCAACAACACTGTCAGTTATTACAAGACCTTGAAGCTCCTGTTCATAATTTATAAATCAAATATGTTTTTTCTTTACTTCATGCAGTTCAGTATGTTCTACCACTACGTGTAGTGGAATATTTTCTACCACCATGGGTAGTTGAGTATGTTCTATCACCATGGGTAGTTTAATGTTATTTTGTGCCTCAACAGGCTGTACCACAATGGGTAATTCAATGTTCTTTCGTGCCTCAACAGGCTGTACCACAATGGGTAGTTCAGTGTTATTTTGTGCCTTTAAACGCTTAATACCAAAGGGCATATTGTTTTCAGTGGCCACATTGGGCATTTCAATTCCATAAGAAAAGGAGCTTTTACAACGTAAAATACTAACAGTTTTAGGAAATTGTCTACAGACAAAAGTTTATCCCCTGTATTTAAAGAAATTAAGCCAGTATTCAGAGCTTTTAAATTTAATTTGTCACCCTGCACTAAGATATTTTTCACGGTTGTTTTGGACCATACAACAATTGGTATATTTCGGCTGTTAAAACTGCCAATAAACTCATAAAGGCATATTGCTTGCCTCTAGATTGAACACTAAAACGTTCATCGCCTTAATGTAGATCACCAGCGATTTGTAAATTAACCATATGTTTAAAAAATTCGTCATTTCCGAGTTCAATTTAATACATTTAAAAGCGCATGGAACATAGATACTGCGTGCGCATTGCAAATCTTGCTTCCCGCGTACGCTCCCTCTCATTCTGTAAAAATCCCCCCCCCCCTTGAAAATCCTCCGACAGACGGACAAAAACAAATCAAGATTTCACCAGCATATAAGTCGGGCGAAGGACTGGGCCGAGTCATCTCGCGATTAGTGTGCTGCCTAACTGACGCTAGGCAGCAACCAGAAGAATTTGAGCAATTTCATTGGTCGAGAGCTATGATCTATAAGAGGACGTACGCACGGAATTGACGTCACAGAAAATTTCATGTTTATAACAACAAACAATGGGCGGATATATTTGAAAATTTATCGCAATACCTCCTTAAATGGAAAAATAAAGATATTCACAAAGACCTAGTTAAGGCAGTTGACGTATTTGAGCAAAAAGAAAAGAAAAAACCCGGTTTTCAAACAATAATTGATTTGTACTTCGTCTTCGATAACAAAATTTCAACAAAATTTGATCGGCCATTGCTTGTTTATTTTGTTAGCCAATCACATTTTATCACGTGATTAAGCTAGCCAATAGCATTCCTTCAATCCTATAGGCACGTCAGCGTGATTTTTGCAAAATCAAGACTTTTCAATGTTCCAATTGTTGGGAGACAAAGAAAACTAACTGTTTGACGGTTTAACTTGGGAATTTTTTTGATTTTATTGTATAAAACAAATAGATAACATTTAACCGTTGTCTATACAGTTATAGATACACGAGTATGACGTCAATTGTGATAAAAACCAAAAAAGTGACCACGAGCCGCCGGGGCGACTCGTGATCTTGCACTGATCTGCTCTCGAGTTCTCCCAAAGGTCTCCTTGGTTTGCTTAAGCCCGTGTAAAAAGAGTAAACATCTTTTATTTCTTAAATAATAAGCAATTTTGCTCATGCAAAAGAAGACTTTTTGGGATGAAAGTTTGTGAAACGAAACTGTTCCGCATTCAACCAAAATCTTTTCGTCTCAGTCAGCCGTAAAATTTGAGCTATTTCGTCGATATGCAGTCCTAGAAAAAACTATTTCCACATAACATTCTTTGTCTTCTGTGTCAGACAAATAAAGCATTGAAAAGAGCGAGATCATCATCCTAACAATCGATTAATAATAAAATAGAAACTAATTTAATTAAATCATGCCATGTTTATTTTGAGTTTTGCGTTTGGTTGACGTCATCATTTCAATTTTTATGCGGATCCGACCACCCAAACTAGCACAAAACATATACGGATTCGTTTTTAAACACCGTAGACAGCGTCTCCAAATGCATACGGATTCGATGGATCCGATACACGTGCTAGTGTGGACGGAAGGCCTAAACGTATCAAAATGCATACGGATTCGAACGAATCCGTGTTAGTGTGGACAGGCCCTAACAGAATGCACATCGCAATTTGCGAAGCAGCAATACAATTTTAAGAAGTGAACTTGCTCGGGAAACAGAAATATGCGAAGTCCAAATTGTAACATAAAGATAGCAACATAAATAAATATTATGACAAACATGAATACAAAGGAGTCAAACGCTATTTTGCTTTTACTTGCCATGTTTACATGTAGACAGTAAACAGCAATGTCACAAGGCTTTGACTTTTGCTTTCTAGTCAGGCTGTGATCCTATCAAGCAGGGGCTGTATTGGGGTAATATTTAGGAATCTGTAACAAAATTTAGGAGGGTGAGGAATATGACTAAACCCACAAATGGTTAACGTTGTAAGGAAAATATTGAGTTTGCAGAGAAAATAACAAAATGAAGCGCTCTGCTACGTTTCAACAGTTAGCCATTTTAAGTGAAAATACAGAGCTCTCCACCAGTTTGCTTTAAAACAATGTTTGCATTTGATATTACTAAAGTTTCATGAAGAAATTTTAAGTGTAGATAATTGGTGTTTGCATATTTGTTTACCATAAATTTAAATAAGGTATAGTTGTCAACCCAATAAGTTATAGTGCTGTCGCAGTGTCGCATGATTGCATAATATCTTGAATCAAGCTTCTTCGATTTAATTGTATCACATGGCTAGCCTTGAGTTGAACGTGTCAAAGACAATGAATTTACACATGACGATAGTACTTTTCCATAACTCAGACAAGGCATTAAATACTTGCTGAAGTATTTGTAGAATTTATACCAGGAAGTATCGTCAAATGTTATCATTATGCACTTGCAGTCACTGTTGTCAAAGAGCATCATCATGAAAAAATGACTATGATCAAATGGTCCCATCACATATTTGCACTGTGACTCAAATATTAGATTTCAGCCCCCTAAACAAAATGCTTACCACTCTAAGCCCAATATTAGAAAAACAAATCATTGATAGGGTTGAACGGAGTTTCACTGGGCAATGTTTCAAAAAGAATTTTTGCAACCATTGGCGTCAATCCTGTCTTAATTGGGGGGGGGACCATATTCATATATTCTGCTATGCCTGGTTAATTTCTTTTCAAAACAATTTCATTTTCAAAAGAAATCAGCCTGGCATAACAGAATATAAGAATATGGTCCTCCGCAATTATCGCAGGATTGACGCCTATGTTTGCGATAGTTATGTTTTTCTCACATTTTGTTTTATTTTAACACATTTTAGTCATATGCAAAAACTGCAGATTTTGTCAATACAAAAAATTTGCACAGAGACTGCTTTCATATAGTGTCATTATTAAAACAATGAAAATGGCGAGATGGTTGACGAAAAAACATATCACCTGATTTCGCAAATGATGACTTTTAATCTTCTCTTTAGTTAATTGAATCAATTCCGTTATATTGTAGAACTCTGCCTCCTCTAGAACTCCTACATTAATAAATATTTTCATTAATATAACAGCAATGTATCCATTAAATAGAAATGACATTTGGTGACATTCTCAAAATATAACACGAGAAAAAAATTTGCGCTCTTTCGAAATAATTTACAAACTTTATTTATTACGCAATATTATGTATAAGCCATGAGAATAAAGCAGAGAATCGGGTCCGATTTGGTAATGAAAATTTCTGGAGAAACTTACTTTTAGTTACTCCTGCTAACAATAGTACAAACTTTGGATCAAATTCAATTAAAGATCATGATGATAATGAACTATAGATTATGATAATTGTGAAAGTTGATTACAATGAATGAGGGATAATGATAATAAATAAAGTATGACAATAGTGGATAGAGGATGCAATACAATACGATACGATACGATACGATACGAAACAATACGATACAATAAGATACAATACAATAAAATACAATACAATACAGTACAATACAATACAATACAATACAATACAAGACAAGACAATTCTAAGTATAGCTATTAATTAACGAGTAACGTTTCGTCCTGTAAATGTTTTGTTTTGATTGGCTCTTAGAACACTTCTTTGTTTGAGTTAGCAATCAGGAGGGTATTTCTCGAAAATAAATTGCATCGATGTTTCGCTTTTTTGCACTAGTATTTACAATAAATTGCACTGCTTTTAACCAATGAGAATTGAGAAATTTTTTCAATGTATATTATTAAACAGGAAACCAGTATAATTCATGAAGCAATGGGGTAAACATTGTCAAATTTCTTAGATTTGATAAACATACGGGCAGCAAAGTTCTGTACCTCAGTTAATTTACCAAACAATAGTACATTTTACTCAATACTTAAGGTTGGACAACTGTTGTAAGAAGTGAATTTTTGCCCAAGGCGTACTTTGCCCTGTTAACCTGTGCCAAACTTGACATAACTAAAGGATGAGCCTGTGGCGTGTGATCCAAATGAAAGTTTAGAATCTAAAAATAGACCCAAAACTTTGAAGTTAGTATATTAATTAAGGTGTATAGTTACAAGTTAGATGACGGAAGTTAGCGTATTAATTAAGGTGTATAGTTACAAATTACATAGGAGTGTTCTGGATCAATGGCAACAAAGAGGTTGCATCTTTTATTAGTGCTGTTGTACGGTTTGCTGTGTGTGATGATGTTCCATAAGATGTCGTGGTCAATGTTGCTGTCTTTAAGGGTCCAAATAAGCTTACTGAGTTCGGTCGAGTTTCGTAGTTTTTAGTGGCGGAAAGAGGCAGTGTGATTTCTAAGTCTAGTCTTAAATTCGTTTTCTGTAAGTCCAATGTACGTCTCAATGGGCAGCCTCGATGGTGCTGAGACATGCGAACTCGTAGGAAGCTACCTCCTTTCTCAACTACAACACATCACAACAGACATAGGAATTTATCGAGACGACGCACTTGCCATTTCAAACACCACACCAAGAAAAACAAAGAACATCTTCAACAGCAATGGACTATGCATAACTATCGAAACTTCCTTGACATCACGACTTCCTTGACACCACCTTCAATCTTAACAATTTCTCATGTCAACCTTACACAAAGTCCAACACTTCTCTTCAATACGTCCACAGCGCCATTTGACCAAATAACTGCACCATACCAAAAAGCACTCGACGAAAACGGATACCGATACACACTAAAATTCGACTCAGACACTACTACCAAACGAAAAAACAGACTTCGACAAAATATACTTTGGTACAACCCTCCATTTAGCTAAAACGTCTACACGAACATTGGCCACAAATTCCTTTCATTAATCGACAAACACTTCCCCATAGACCATAAACTGAGGAAAATATTCAACCGTAAGACCATCAAACTCAGCTACAGCTGCATGAACAATATCGAACAAATAATCAACAATCATAACAAACATGTACTGAGAACATCAGACAAAACTAACGACAACACCGCGACCAAAAAGACACGTACAAAAACCGTAACTGCCGACAAAATCAAAACTGCCCACTTAACGGAAACTGTTTACAATCGTCCACCAAGCGCAAGGACAATAACACAACGTACATTGGATTAGAGAAAACGAATTTAAGACTAGACATAGAAATCACACTGCCTCTTTCCGCCACAAAAAACTACGAAACTCGACCGAACTCAGTAAGCACATTTGGACCCTTAAAGACAGCAACATTGACCACGACATCTCATGGAACATCATCACACACAGCAAACCGTACAACAGCACTAATAAAAGATGCAACCTTTGCATCAAAGAAAAATTCTCTATCCTCTGCCAACCATCCAAATCATCCCCCACTAAAGTTGGTATAGTGCAGTGCACTCGCCCCAGCGGCTCGAGGCCACTTTTTGTTTTTATCACAATTGACGTCATACCCGTGTATCTATAACTGTATATACAACGGTTAAATGTTATCTATTTGTTAAATGTGTAATCACTTAATACAAAGATTGCGGCGCGCGGTCTGTTCTGTAACGATGGAATGGGCAGAGTTGTCGTTTGTTTATACAATTTAAGTGATTTATTGGGCCGCCTACGTCCGAGGTCAATGTTATCTGCCGAAGCGAAGCTGCGACGGATAATATTGACCGAGGTTTAAGAATTCTTGATATCATGTGGAAAACGAATTTAATAATGGTGTTATTATTCCCCTCAACTAACTGAAATATAAAAACTGATAAATGTAAAACTTTCGCTAATTTGTCGCTGAAACAAAACAGTTTTTCAAGTTCTTCTCTTTTAAATATGCTGTAAATATGTTCAAAACCAGCTTCGTCGCTTTTTTAGTGTTTTTGACTTCTTTTTTGCTCAAAAGCTTTTGCTTATCGTTCTTAGAAACTGTGATAAACATCGTTGTTTTGATTTTTTTCAAAACCGGCTTTTAATGGCGTCCATATTTGTAGAAACTGTTATATGTAGGTATGAAGTCATAATTGCAGCTATGGAGAATTATCTGCAGGTAGTTGATTAATCACAGCCGAGAATGCTCGCATAGTGAATAATAATTGATGATAAATGATAAAATTAGATAAGAGATGATGAGGTATGATGATGTTGGATTAGGGATGATGATGGATGAAGGATGATGGCAAATGATGGACATATTTTTAAATAGATTCAAAAACTAGTGACCATAAATCTATATGACGAAAAGTTTCAATAAATTTGCAATACAGTTAAGGAATACACCTCCAGAATTAAGATTGTACTTATTAACTTTGCTAAAATGTATGAGTAGGATTCCTTTGTGTCAACATTCAAGAAGCACATTGTACAAGTATTCCCCTTGAAACAGGCAAAATATATATTTTCGAAAACATTTGAAAGATAATGAAAAACATTAATGAATACAACATAAATTTATTGGACCAAAAAAACCTCAATCCAAATTTATTGTGTCATCATGCATAAAATATAGGAAAAAATATTGGTTTGCTTTTACATCATTATTACGTACATTTCTTCAAATATCAAATAATATTTTTTAAGTATAATTCTGTTGGAAAATGTGAAGGGTAACTTTATTCAAAAAAAGAAATCAGTTCAAAGCATAATTCAATGGTACTATACTTGCCTCAATAGATGCATATGACTTGTCAAATGCACAGAAGCTTAAGCCTCTAGAACCGTTTATAAATTTTGTGGTTGATTATTGTAAATTTTGTTGGATAATTAATTGCTGTTAAAGTAATTGATAGTAAATAATAGCACTATCTTTTTTCAGTAAATCACATTTTCAATTCTCATAGGTGGAACATTGTCTTTTGAGCACCTATTTTCAAAAGCAAATTGACAGATCATTTTTGCTCCCATTGACATAAAAGTCATATAACTGGTGACCTAATCAGTTGTTTTTTGGTTCAATACATTAATCATAACACTTACTTTAGCATTTTATAAACAAAAGTGTATCAATTATTTTGATACAAACTGTACATCTTCGCAAACACACATACCTTGCTCTGACATTCCTGAGTCAATAATTAATTTACCATGTCTAAGATAATTTAGTATGGGAGAAAAATATTTTGGATCCCTATCAATCAAATACGCCCCTTGCTCGTCCTAAAATACGCAAAGAATATCAAATAAATATATGCCTCAAGTATTAACAAATAAAAAATAAACGTGAAACAAGTTGAAATTGGTAGCAGTTGTGCTCGTGTAATTGCATTGTAAGTTGAGCTATGTGCAAAAATCATTGTCATACTTTGTCTGTTGGTAGCTCGGGATCCTCCATAATTAATCTTGAAAGAAACGACTTTGGATCTCTGGATAACGTCGTCTTTGTCGTCAAGAAATGCGTACCTCCCACGTTGAGTTTAATCCAACTTTTTGAACGCTTTCTCCCACCTTCTTGATCAGAAGTAGCCATGTTTTCGACTGACCTGCAGGAGACGCTTCACCCGAACACCGCCAGAGAAATTTAGGGATGGTTGTTTTGTTTACTTATATACTTCGTTAGAGCACAATGGCCTGTGATAACGCTTTCGTTCGAAATTGCGAAGTACAACTTTTAGTCTGATTGGTTTAAATATATAGAGACTGGCTTATTTCCTGTATTTTTTCACGGCTGTCGAGATAGATAGGATATCATATTTCTACTCCTGGTAAATATGATCCTCAATCCTGTTATTCCTGTGTGTTCAAATATTTTATCAGTATGTACTGGAAATTTATTAGGAAATTACTACAAGAATCTAAAGTTATTAATTTTCTCTCCAAGTTATCAATCCAAACAAAATTTTAATCACCACCAACTGAATCCATTCGAAAACACAGTTCCATCGAACAAAGTGAAAGCAAAAATGACAGAACGGGAGAAAAATAATTAAAAACAAATCGGCATTTTGTTAATGGAAGTAAGGATCTAGTCTGACGTTCATGAAAAGATGCTCATGTTTATTTTACTTACTGCAATCAAGGTTGCCATGTAGAGAAAGTTTTATGGCGAGGATTTCAAGTTATGGCGTGCGTATCAGCCGGCATAGAAACACGGGAGAGAAAGCCTGCATATATGACGTAAGTAGATTTTGCTATAACCACAAATGGACAAACGTATATTCGTGCAATCAAAACGTCAAGAAAATATGAGACTTTTTCTCGTTCCAATTTTATCATAAGATTCGAGAACAGGCGTGTAAAATTTCCTAGGTAATTAGGATGCAACGTAGCCACGTCTATGAACAATGAGATTATCAGTGCGATTAAATTACTGGTATGATCTATGATGTAATACAAATACAATACTTGGAAATTGACGCCGCGTTATGTCTTCCTAGAAAAGGCATTACGAGGAAGTATGGCAACATAACTTAAACGCCAGATGCACGGTGTCTGTCTTTTGACTGTGACGAAAAATTCAAAAAGTATAGCGCTGAAATGGTTTGTCGGTTGATAAATCGCGTTGTTAGATATGATATGAACGAAGGTATTTATAAATATATATATTAGTTTCATATTAGACTTCACCATGTATGTAAGGACTATCGTGGGATTATTATGTGATGGACATTTCAGTGGGATTTATGAAGTAGCATATTTGAACTTATCGATGATAAAATGTGATAATAGATTACTTTCTTATGAACAGACAAATTTTACGAATGCAGGATACAGACTCGCAACTAATTAGACTCGATCTCGGTGTTGAAAATTAGCAGATGATAACAAAACCCGTTGCAATAAAATAAAATAATACTCGATGATAAAATAATACCCTAAAGTAAAACCTAAAGCAATTCAGCAGGACGTTTGAGGAGCAAAACAACCTTAAACGCGGACGTTTCCTTGTTCTTATAGAAATGACTTGAATTTCTATACTATATATCTATAATATTAATACTATATGTGTTAAAATAACACTAAACTATAAACACATATTTACCAACATCAACAGTTACTCGAGTTTTGACTGAAACTGCCGTAGAGAATATTTATGTAGAATAAGGGAGATATGAGGTTCGGTTTTAAATTTGGATAGCATGTATCGTCGTTATATACACAAGGTCGTATAGCTCGTTCGTCTTCCTGCTGTAGGAAGAAATGATGAGGTCATTAATGATTACACATAAAGCTTTTCATATGAAAGAGAACAATTAAGCATTGCTCAATGTCATTTGCACAAAACTCTTTAGTTTGATTACTTGGAAAAGCCAGGTTTCAGTGCACGTATTGACTTACTTTTATTATTGTTTCCTGTAATCTAACTCTTCTGGGAAAACCCCCTGACTGGCATTCCACACCTGACTCGAGAACTGTTGCACGTGAGAAGAGTAATGATAGTTTGTAAGAAAGTTAGTTTCAAGTCGATGTCTGTCCAAATAACGCGAAAAAATTACTTGTCAACAAATGAGCGTTACTATGTTGATATGTCATTGATAATTAACATAAAATATTACATTAATGCGGAGGTATCGCGTTGTTATAAATTCATATATACATTATATAAAAAGAAAGGGAAACCAATGTGTAGAGATTGGAAAATTGGAGGAATGGCTTTGAGTGATGTTTGATGCATTTCACTTTCTTTAGTGTGGTTTGATTTTTTCAGTTTCGTTGTTTAACGAAACGAGGAAAAGCTAAAGCGAAACTAGGAAGTCACTAACACTGCAACTTTTGTCAACTATAATTATATATTGTTCTGACTGCTTGCCAAATTTGCTTATTCTATGGCATAAGAACGTGTGGAAAAGATGGGATTACATTTGTGCTCAGTTCACACTGTGTATTTTGATTTTCTGGGGCATGCTGAAACGTTTTTAGTCGCTTGTCTTTCGTTTTGTTCTCGATGATGCCAATGAACCGTGGAGTTAGTGAAAGATCAATCGTTATTCCGGAACACGTATTTTAAACTCTGAAAGTCATTTCATTTTCATTACCTCTGACATTATTGACTCAACTGAAGCTAGTAAATCACAGTACAATTACTTAAATCTTTGAAGACATCGTGCCATTGTCTTCATAAAGTTGCTCTAGCAACCGCAGAGTTTACCAGGAACCAACGAGTATAGTTCATGGAAATAATTTGCGTATAACTGTTGAATGTTTCATTTTACCAAGCAGTTTACTTCACACACTTAAGTAAACACCTTGTTGCTCGCTCATTGTATTTAAGTAAAGTATTTCGCGATATTTGCTATGGTATTCGATATGAATATACGGTTTTGCATGAAACGTTTTAAAGATACATTGGCAACCAAAAGCAAAGGCAAGTTACAAAATTGAATGCACTAAAAGTATTTTCCAAATGATTTTTGCGTTTCCATGATTCCCAAGACAAGTAACCACGATACTTATTTTTTTTCTTTCTTTAGAATTGCGTCGAAAAGAAAGATTAAATGAATATTATTCGCGATTACAAAGCCACGATTGCATAAGCAATCTCTTTCGGGTATCGCTGGCTCGTGTTGAAGATAGTTGCTGGTATTGGGGTACAATAAGCAACAAAGAAGCTAGTTTTGTTCTTAGGAATTCTGAAGAGGGGACATTTTTGCTCCGGGATAGCTCAGACTCACGATATTATTTCTCGCTTTCCGTGAAAGTCCACGAGACTATTTTGAACATTAGAGTGCTGTATTCGAATGGAAAATTTATGTTTGATTGCTTTAAAACTCGACTAAACGACATTCCGAAATTTGATTGTGTTATCAAATTGATAAGCTACTACGTTGCAGTTAGCCAAACGGAGGACGGACGAAGAATTTTGACAAAGAGTGCGGAACATGGTGAAACAGAAATAAGGCTTCAAAAACCGAGGTTCAGTAAAGTGCCATCGCTTGAACATTTGTGTCGACGTGTGGTTAATAGGTCGTGGAACAAGGATGAACAATGCTCCCTTGCTTTAACTAGAGGAATCGACAAATATATAAGACAATATCCATACTCCATATGACATGTTGAAATCAAAGGAACGAACTTACTATGTTCATTTACACGCAGATTGTTAATTTACTCACAGAGCGTTGGAATGGATGTTTTTCTGAGAGTAGAAGAATCCTAAACGGAGCAGCTGTCGAGAAGCACTTTCACTTGTTATATGCATTCAAAACTTATGACATCATTGTTTCTTATTTTATACGAAATGTTGCAATTAAAACTTTAACGCGGTACTTCCAGCTTTCGCCCTATGCGGAATAAATAATTACAAAATTAGGGTTGTTTTAGAAATATTTTGCCTTCATATTATCGCATGGAACAAAGTTTATTGAAAAAATGTTCCGTTTGCAACCTTTTTCCTTAAAAAGCCATGCACCATCTCGTCCTTATAGTCTATCCTTTATATCGTTTATGTACGTTGTAATTATCGATGTTTGATTTATTTATTAATTCAATGCTAATTTATTTGTGTATGTATGTATAAATAAATTTATAAAGATACTTTATTTTGAGGTGAACGTATCTCGATCTGCTTTTGAAAACATCAATGATTTGTCGTTTTGGCCATGACAAGTGAAAATCTTTTTTTGCAATCTTTATTTGTGTAGGTCTCGAATTGAATTTTCAAACAAGTCATATCGATAATAACTAATTTTCACTTTGTATTGAATGATGACATAATCTTCTTTCATTATCGTTTTTCACAAAGTTAATAGATGGCCCAAAAACGCATTAGTGAAGTTAACGGCTATCCACTGACGTAAAATTTTTCGATCAAAAAAGTGAAATCTGCTTTCTTGTAGAGAAAAAAAGCGCAATTCCTGTTAGAAGTAAATCATTCCGTGCTGTATATTTGAACATGATCTTCATCAACGTTTTAGTTACGTCATCTGGTTTGTCGTTGACGTTTAATCGTTCACTAAGTGCATCGCCAGATCATTTCTTAGTGACCCTTGTGAAACAAGGGAATAGAAATAATAGTAGCTATACCAATCTAGTAAACTAGTAGAATCAGAGCAAAGTAGACGAGTTTATGTCGCTGTGGTAAATAATACTAGGAAAAATAACCTTTTATTGCTCAATGTGGCATTCATGCTACTTTTTACGAAGACAAGGATGAAAGATGTATTTAGTACAAATCAATTTCGAAAGCCTACTTTAGATAAAATAAAGTCAGATATTTTAAACCTTCTAGGCAATTGCAGCCAATGTTGTGTACACGGCACTCTTATAATTGTAGAAAATACGTGTAGTTACGCAACACGACATATATTCTAAAAAAACGTTGTCTGCTGTTTTGTGCAGACAGCGTGGTTAATTCAGTCAAGTTCGTTACGATCTCAGATGTAATGTGAACCTGACAGTGTACTAAAATTTGGCAAAATCGTGTTTTTTATTTAATTTTAAGAAATAAATGCAATCACATGAGAAGAACCATTTGGCTCTTCTTTCGACAACATCATATGAGTCAAATAATCAAGGGTTAAATTATTTGTCTCTGTGCCTGTTAATTTTTTAAAGGAAAGTTCTAGAACATCAAATAAACAATAAATGTTTAAATGAGAACAGTTTATTAAGATTCGTGGTTGTTTTGTATCAGCGTCTTTAGCGCTTTTTATGACGTGTAGATGATATAGCAACTACGGCGCTCATTCTAGGGAGGTGTTCATTCGGGGGCGGCACTCAAACAAGTAAACACGGTATATGCTTAGTACATTCACATCGGCTCTAGCCAACAGATGATGCATTGAAACATTGGCTAAGTACACAAAAGATTAAATGATGAAAATTCTCTTTAAGCAAGCCATATTTTAATACTTGCGGAAGATTACCAGAAGCTAATTTACCTTTTGACGTAGAAAAGGATGTCAGTTCACATTCTAATCGCTTGTTCTTCTGGGAATTGTAACGCTCATTGTACATAATTCCCGTGGTGCAAGATTCGAATGGGTAAATTAATATATGAAAAAAGCGTTTGAAGATTTTTTTATATTTGAAAATCGTGGCAATTTTTCATGGGCTTTCGCTAGCCTTTAACGCATGCTTTTGCAAATCATAAGCTATTTACTTTTTAAAGATATAATTCGAGAGGATATTTCCCAGGATTTTGAGGAATTCCACGAAAAATCAATTGGATTTTTAAGACTTGTAGAGATCATTTAATAATTTTTGAGATTGTAAAATTTTCTAAGACTGTGTGGGATTTTTTGATGTTTTCCCAATTTGTACGAAATTTTTTGAAGTAATATACCCTTCGCAAGATTCCAGTACTGCCATTTGATGAACTTATACATTTGATACTTAGTCCTAAACTGATTGTTTAGATGAAGCTGTCTCCAACAATTGATAAAGTCAGACTGAAACCAAAAATTATATGATACAATACAGTTGATTCTTGCGTTAAATAAAACAATAATAAATTGAAAAGTTGACACACAGGTGAACTACTTGGTGGCGACGCCGAGCATAAGTAATTAAAGAATTTAAGAACTTCGAACTACGTACTATATGTGAACAACGCACATACTTGTCTTGTGCGCACTTAAAAACTTATAAGAATGGCAAATAACTTCCGGAAGACGATAATAATTTCTTTATTTCATTCATAGCGAATTATAATATCAAAGCTTCTACAATCTTATTTATTGTGATTATGGCTTTGGAATAGCAGAGATGGTTCAGATGTCGAATTACTTCGATTCAGATCTGATACTTGCCATTCTAGAATGTGAAATGTTGAACGACCAAATCGTCGCTGACCTCTAGGCGTCGCAGGAGCAGATTGAAGTATCCTTTCATCCTTACAAGGTATGCAATGATCAGAATGAATTACGTCATTTATCGATGGTATTTCCAGCGAATCTGAAGCAACTTCAATGACATCATCTGCTTGGGCATCAGAAATATCAAGAACGCTCGCAAGTGCGCGAGCCTGATCACCAGAAGTCTGGGTCAATAGCAAACAAGATTCTGGCGCAGCCATGCGATGACTATCTGAGGGAGTGTGGGTTGACCCATTCACACTTATAGGCTGACCATTGATTGGTCTTTCATTTGATGCTGAGTTTGACTTCAAATCAGATACAGCGACTGCTCCTCCAGGTCGACTTAGAAAACCACGTGGACTCGAAATAGAAGGTGACGCCAATGAAGGGCGACTAATCGGGTACAACTGCTGCGTTGGCGCAGCCATTACCGGAAGTTCCAACAATTGCGCAATACGTTGTAGCTTTATATGACGTAATGATGTGCGTCTACGATGTAGGCGTTGTTTGGCAGACATGCAACGGATGTAGTCATCGAACATGAACTTGGCAGTCATGAAGGGTCTACGAGGACCACGCGTGGACCTCGCAAAAGGCTGGTGTATTGTTATGAATAAGGAGCGACTGTCGTACTTGTCAGGTGAAATTTCTACATCCTAAAAGAAAGATTTAAATATTGATAAAAATATAACTTTGGAACCTAAGTATCCATAGACACAAACTTATTGTACGAACATCAAGAAAAACACTACGTCTTTAGACTTAATTTACAAGTTGAAGCATGCACTTATATTGCATAAATTGCTTATGTCACGTCCAGTTAAAAAGTACAACTAGTTAATAGTAATAGCATCTGATTGTCAAACACAAAAAAGGCAACCCTGAAAGGTCAAGGAAGATCCGATTTCTCACAAAATATATTGCAAGTGTTCTTAAATCCTCAATTCTAACAAAATCAATTATTTTCCCGATGCTGATGTAGGCACTTTAAACAACTTTCAATTTCTGATAATTGACCATTTTGACAAAAAAATGAAAGCAGCAGGAATCGCACCTACATTAAATCGACAGTGAATCTATGGCGGATCAAAGCTCACTTGCGGGGTGCAACATTGTTCAAGCTAAAGGTGCCAGGGTCTCGGGATATGGTAGATTTATAAGCTAACAAATACGTAAGCGAACATTGCTTAATGAAAGTGCTATTAGTTTTTATGAATTTTTTATAAAGTTAAGTAAATTACAAATCCTAGTTGTATAGCAATACAATGCTCCCTCAAACAAAGCTTCATGAATTATGTATCCAAAATTGCCAACGACGAGTGAATCAAGGGCAAAACATGACAAAGGAAAATGTAAAGGGACCGGTATTTCAAACAAAGATTACGTTTTCCCAGGATATGCAAAATCTTAAATGAGGTTACATAGTAACCGAGGAATATAAGAGGAATCAGTTGCGAGTTGGGACCGAATGAGGTAGGAAGGTTTATAAGTAAATAAGTATAAATGACCTGACCATTATTCAACGCATTTGTAAGCGCAGCGTCTTAAAAAAAATTGTCTTTTCTTCTTTTGTACATCGAAATGTTTTCGATGTGATAAGGTGCTAGTATGTGGTGGTCAGGCCTTGAATACGAGTTGTTCTATTTGGGACCTGCATTCCAAGTAACCGAAAACGTGTGCCAGGTTTCTCAAAATTGCACCTAACCATAAATAAGGTAAGTGTGGTAACGATCGATAGTAACGTAATATTTCAAACGCAAAAGCTGTAGATTAGGATGAAAAGGAAAATTTCTTACATCAATTGATTTTGCATGCTTTGTATTGCTTCAAAAATAAACTTTTTTTGTAAATTGAAAACAAACTTATAAGGAAAGTTTAACCCAAGATTATAACGGTTTATCATGCTTTTTACAACCTTCCCCTACATTATTGAACAATACATAAAATAAACAATGGAATAATTGGTACATAGGCAGATCTAGGACGATAATTTTAAAATTGACAACGATCTAAATAAAATGGAACATAAAATTATATCAGCAATAATTTCTTCAACATCTAACGCGATTAACCTAAAAATCAAGATCAGATGAGTCTCAACAGGGAAATGGTGTTAAGGCACCACAAGAGTTGTACAGTTCGCTGGCATACACTAAGACAAAATTACGGAAAGATTTACAGTTGGAAATACACATACGCTACATACCTGCAAGAGTGCAACAAACTTGACGACGCCCCATCCGAGTCTCGTGGTATCAGGTTCCACCAAAATAAACTGAGCTTCGTCGATCACCAGAAATCGACGCAGACTCCTAAACGATAACAATCAACACCGGAATTTCGTCACGGTCGACAAATGAAAGAAACACGTTTGACAAGTAGACAAACTTGCTTTATGTACCTGCTTTCTTCGACAACTGTGCAGGATATAAGATCGCTATTGTCTGAGATGCAAAAAAATCATGTCGTTTTATGAAAGTCAATTGAAACGCGTTTTCGTGCAATTGGAAACTTTCCTCATTGACCAAGTTTTTCTATCTTTATTATTACTCATGGCTTTCTTCCTCCATTCTTTCTCAATGCACTCAATCTTGTCGTTAACAATCAATGCTTTCAATATTACACAAGCTACCTTTTGTAACTCGTTTCATTCTCTCACACTTCCCGTATCATCTATGTTATACATTCACTCATGAATCTCCCAGTTCTATCTCACAGAAATATATAACTCTCAGAGTCTCACTCTCTCCGTTACATCCAAGTTAGTTGAGTTCCTAACAACCTTCTATACTAGACTTCTATAATCTCCCCCCCCCCGTGAATCTCCTAATTCTTTCCCATAGAATGATTTAACTCCTACTTCTTTTGCTGAAGAGTTCTATTCTTCACATCGCTCTGTCCTTCATATCTTCCCAAGGTAGTTGAGCCCCTAACTTCCTTTCACATACACTTCTATCATCTCGCACTTTTCTTTAACTTCCGGTTTTTTTTAACTTATGTCCAACCTCTTCCTTTCAATCCCTTATTCTTCATCCTGGTACCCCACGTCTTTCTAAGTCAAAATTACATGCATCATCAATTCAAAAATTTACTACCTTTTATTCTTCACTCTTCCAGTTGCTTACTTTGTTCTATCAGTTACTTAACCCCAGTTTCCTCTATCTCTATCTTCTGCTATCCCTTTAGCCCTCTTATCACTCAACTAATTTTATTCACAATCCATCGCAGGCCTCACTCTCTTTCCTGACTCTGCTCACGATTTGTAGTTTACATTCACAGTTCAATTCAATGTCTCTTTTAGGACTTACTGAGATCGAGAACCTCGCTTTCGTTAACGGAATATTCGACTTTAGAAAGTGGAAGCTGCCGCTCCGGTTCTCGTCGAACGGTCAGACACAACTCGCGAACCATGAGAAATACTCGAATTATCTAAAGGTAAACAACAACGATAATTATTACTAAAACAAACAAACAAACAAAGAGCTGTTAACAACTATAACAGATACTTGTAAAAATGATTCATACGTGTAAAATAAGATGAAATTAAGCACGTGTTAGAAATTTAATTGTATTTAAATTCTTGGACGATGGTTTTTGAACACAGCAGTACGAGTTAAAAATTGACAAATATTTGAAAAGAAAAATATATGAGGAAAAGACAAAAAAGATATGTAAAAACTACACATATACGCAAGCATTAACAAATTTACATGTAACCAGGTAACCATTCGCTTTCCACTCCAACAATGCAAATGTTACGTTCATTCACTTGAAGAACAATGAATGGAAATAATTGTCCAAAGAGTGAACAACAATTCTGGCTGACTTCACCAAGAAATACTCGTGAAAACGCATGGAACGCATGGAACAATTTTTATTTTTATCAACGAGATAAAGAAAACTACGAGACCACTTTACCAAGAATCATTTATAAGTCACATTTGTCAAAAAACTCACTCTCTGTGCGTGCTCCACTTCACCACAAGCAAGGCGTTTTGAGAACTCAATACCAGTCAGCGGTGTAGCTGTGACAGGAAGGAGCAAGGAAGCGTCCATCATAAGACGCTCGACATTGAGTGGCTTAACCTAAAATGAATGATGGAACACGAGAAAAAAACATGCAATTTGACAACTCCCTACCATTAATTCATTATGACCTTAACCGTAAACCCTTACACCACTGCCAACTTTAACCATTCAAATGTAGTAAAAAATGTATAAATTATGCGGACACCCTAGAGGACCAGACCGGTGGCGGATTCAGAGTACGTTAAAATAAATTACTGCAGCACATTTTGGCGTATATTTACATTTTTAAGCATCTTAGAGGGTAACCCATTGGTAAAATTATATTCTTTAGAAATTAAAATCCAATAGTGCTTTTCTGAAAGTAATTTTAATTTAAAATTGAGGAGCAATAATTTATTTTGACGTACACTGGATCCGCCACTGGACCAGACTACACTTCGAGGTGTCAGTTAAACAAAGTTTCTCGTTACCAGGCACCTCCCAAAGGACATAACCTAAATACGTCTATCAAAAACTAAAGGGTGTGGGAATATTTAGAAACGATTTCAGTTTAATTAACAGAATAACAATGTTCAAAGACATTTAGTACATCCGTATTTTGTTCTCACATAAATGTCGGAATAAAGATGGCTGTTTGATGTAAAAATTTTAATTCCAGCGTAACGCAATAACAAGCAGGCTTTAAACATTTGACAAACATTTCCATAATTGTGGCAACGATGTGAGTGACTAACGTATTGCCGGTAAAAATATAAAATACTCGGAAAAATTTTGTACGTAAAGTTTTTGCGTTCCACTAATAGAGATATCCATTTGTTAAAGTTTTGGTGAATAACTAAATTCGTGAAATGTCTGTTTAATACAGGGTGTACGTTAAATGCACGGCTTCTAAATACATATTGACTGCAGTTACAAATTTACGATGTTTGGATGATTCCTAACATAAGGCATGAATAATTGATTTTTTGTGAAATCGATGGTTGAAATTAGCAAAAATACCAAAAAACTGATGTCTTAAACTACATACAATTTCCAATTTAAGCAAAATACATGTACCTTCATTTGTCGATATTCAGCTTCAAAGGTATCCAAAAAAATATCATCGCTCTAAAAAATGAATTCGCACTATGATTTGAATGTCATCAAAGCTTCAGCGACATATAATGCAAGTTTCGCGCTCTCGTCAATACGTATCATACTAACAATAGAGTTGCCTTCATGACAATTATAGCGCCAGGCCATTTTAGTGTACAGTAGGGTTAACACAACTATTACATAACATAGAATAGATTACTCAAAGGCAGAAATGTATGAATTTGCATTCTATTACGGCTTATAGACAGTTTCCTAATCACATCATTAAGTAAAAACTTATTCAATACTTTATGCTTGATATAAGCTTATAGGCTTAAGTAGAGTATTCCCACTAAGGTTTTAGATGAAAGACGCAAAAACAAAACAACCCTTACCCAAACTTCAAAAATAAATTTATTGTTATTTGAGAGCTCAAGCTACCCAATCCAACTTACTTTATAGTAATTACGTAACTCCAATGTGCACGACTCTCTTACATTCTACAAAATGTTTATAAAATGTTTATAGCTACATACTATCTCAAAAAAATCATTCACAAAAATTAGAGTTTTTCAAATGTCTATGACTACACATACAAGACAAATACAATTATATGATAAGATAGTCACGGATAAAAATTGAACTCGTTAAATGGTAAAAATACAGTCATAAATTACACCACAACCCAATCTTAAAGTACACACGAGTCAAACCGCAAAGAGGTTCGTGGTCTTTATTAAGTAGACACGAGTCAAACCGCAAAGAGGTTCGTGGTCAAATGGCAGTCCATTACGTCATTAGTGTGCTAGTCATTAAGTCACGTGATGTGCACAAAAGTCAAGTGACCAAGAGGTCCTCAAAACAGTAACATTTAGACGTACGTAGTCTCGACGTCGTTTAATCTACCGATATGTATTCTTCAATGCAATTTTACCTCGAGTAATACCAAATGCAAATCTTTTAGGACTGTCATTCCTGGGTTGCCGTTATAAACGATCAATTTCATCAAAATAATACTCATTTGTAATGTGACTAAGCGAACTTTACTCACTAAAAGAAAAACTGAACATTGAAGTTAAAAATTACATGAGTTTTCAGTAAGCGCTATGTACAAAAACGCATCCAAACTGATCAAAAGTAAAAAAACTGACAGTGTTTATACGTTAATATTTCGCAGTATGCCAAATTGTTGACAAAGGATGACAAAGGATGCAAACACAAAACAAAATAAAATTTCGAGCTGTGCATGTTCATCGATACGTTACAAGCTCTTGTAGCTAATCAGTCCATTAGATACGAAAAAGACCAAACATCCAAACAAAACAATACAAAAAACAAAAAATGGGGCGACTTTGCAATAGGTAGCTAGTATCTTTCATAGAAAACATTCCTCTTGTACAAGAACGAAAATGCTGCAGTTTCTAACCACTGATGCATATATAAATAAACCCGAATGTATTGTTGCGTCTAATTAATATGTTTTAAAAGTAGAGTTTGTGGTCTTTTAACCGTGTACGGTAAAATTTAGATAAAACTTTTCACAGACAGACAGCATTTGTCGTTCAACAACCTAACATACCATTTTTTGACGCTTGTTCCATAATAGTTATCAAAGCTGTAATCAGTTCATCGTTGTATTGCTTTGTGAGCTGAAATAATGGAGAAAAATAAAATATAAAGAAAAAGTGAAAACACTTCATATTAAACTTCAGGACAACAGTAGTTCGTTTGCAGAAGATGAAGGAAAACGATTATTAAATGGGAATTTTTATGTGGAAGTAAAAGTAAAAGATTAGTATAAAATAATGCACACAATTGTAAATTGTTCTAACAGCGTAAGCGGCAAATTGACGTCATCACCAATATTAAAATGTTCAACGCGTCATGGTCCGTTTTAAACGTCGAACTTCAAATGAGAAAACGATTATATTTGTCTTAGATGCATTTGGAGCATGTCAAGTTCGAAGTTTCAAACGGGCTCAAGAAATAGTTGACTTGACATGCGTGAAACACTGTATAGCGAATTCGCGGCAATATTGTATTACTAAATTGTTTTTTGGACTGTCTCTATTGAAATTGAGCAGTTTTTCGTTTAGATATTGTCATATTTTTACGATGTGTTCATGTATTTTGTGAAAATTTAATTCGTTTATGTTGTAAGAATAGTAATAAAACTTGCCTGGCCAGGTAACAGTCCAACACTTTTCAGGAGTTCAACGTCCACGCCTGTATAAAGAATTGAAAACAACTTCAACTCCGGAAATTAAATTTAAACGCTTGAATTTAAAGTTTAAATTAAAACGTTAATTGGGAAGGTGTGTTTGTTCCTATGTTCAGTTGGACCTGAATGATTTCTTTTGCAAAGATACTCACTTCCACCCAAACCCAGCCCAACTTGTTGGCAAATATGATAGCAGATCGTTGTATTTAGAGAATAAACAATTTTTTAATTTATTGTAATGGTTCAGTTATTTTATGAAGTTAATAATCATTGGAAAAATTACCATTTACACTCTATATGAACCCTATTTTAAATGCATAAAGTACACAGCCACCGAAAAATATCGCTTTAAATGGACGATTTGCCTTGTTTATGTTTTGTTGGCAATAGAAGTTAGTGTTAGTTTAACGAAATATTCGCAGAGAGAAAATAAGTAAAAGTTTATTTATTAAGAAAAAAAACAAGAACGTATATATAACGTACAACTGAGCCAGCGATTGTATAGAGCTGCGCCCGCAATGTCATATTAAAGTAATACTTGATAAAACTAACAAAATATCATAATGCTGAGTGTACATTTAATCAATTCAACACTCCCACTCACTCAGCATCATACTACATTAAAGTAAGTCCTAGCTTAGAGCGAAGTTTCTCAAATTTTCCTTGTGGCAATGGTTTTGTAAAGATGTCAGCGATCATTTCATCTGTTGGACAGTAGTTTACTTGAATAGTTTCATCTTCAACTTTCTCACGAACAAAATGTAATTTAATATCGATATGTTTTGTTCTTTTATGCAAAACAGGGTTTTTTGACATGGCAATGGCTCCTTGGTTGTCTTCGTTTATTGTCTTCGGATTAGGATCATTAATTTTCAGGTCTTTTCGAAGTTGCCGCAACCAAACACACTCTTGTGTTGCCAAGCAAAGAGCGATATACTCAGCTTCGGAGGTTGATAAAGCCACGGTCGGTTGTTTTCTGCTTGTCCAACTAATCGCACCATTGGACATTAAAAACGCATTGCCAGACGTAGATCGTCGGTCTTCTGAATCTGCAGCCCAATCAGCATCCGAATATCCTTCCATTTCTTTACCATTTGATTGATACCGCAAGTGCAATTTTATTGATCCTTTTAAATACCGAAATACTCGCTTAACGGCAGTTAAATGCCCTTCAGTTGGAGATGAGTTGAACTTTGACAGGGTATTTACGGCGTGAGCTATGTCAGGTCGAGTTGCTATAGCTGCATAGATCAGACTTCCTACCATCGATTGATATTGTGTTGGGTCAACTGATTTGCTACATCCGTCGTTTTTCACTAACTTCACATTGCTGTCCATTGGAGTGGATACGGGTTTACAGTCTTGTAGTTTGTATTTGTACAGGATCTTGTTGATATACTGTTCTTGGCTTAGCATTAGCGAGCCATTCTCTTGTTTATTGTTCACTCCCAAGCAGTAATGGAGCTTTCCCATATCTTTCATCTTGAATCTTGCAGACAGACTTGCTTTCAGATTTATCATCTCATGTTCACTCGCCGTCAATAATATGAGATCATCCACATGCAAAGCAACGATTGTAAGATGAAGATTGATTTTGCGAACAAACACACACGGATCAGCAGCGCTTTGTTCAAATCCCTGAGAAACATGAATTCTTTTAGAGACAAATTCCAACATCTTGGGCTCTGTTTCAATCCATACAGAGACTTTTTAAGGTGACAAACAAGGTTTTCTTTTCCACGGACAACAAAGCCTTCTGGTTGTTCCATATATATATCCTCATCTAGTTTCCCATTTAAAAACGCAGTGACAACGTCCATTTGATGAATAAACATGTTTCTTGAAACAGCAAATGCCAAGAGAGCTCGAATAGACGTGAATCTGACAACAGGTGAAAATGTTTCTTCGAAGTCAATTCCATACCTCTGTAGGAAGCCTTTTGCAACCAAACGCCCTTTGAATCTATCAATTTTGCCGTTTTCGTCATGTTTCACTTTGAACACCCATTTACACGAAATCGTTTTTCTACCTGGTGGTAGAGGTACCAGTTCCCAGGTATCGTTTTCCATTAGTGATTCATACTCTGAGTCAGCAGCTTCCTTCCACTTTTGAGCATGTTCGCTTTCAAGAGCTATTTTCAAGGATGTAGGCTCTTCAACCTGTGTTACATAGAGTGCTGTATGGGTTGTTGTCGACACATTGGCGTATTCATCATGATAATGAATTGGCGGTTTCTTCTCTCTTGCTGAACGTCTCAGCATAGTAGACTTCTCTGTTTCCTCTTTCTTCAGGTACAACTCGTTCTCTTGGTCCAACTCTAACTGCACTTCATTGGAATGCCCAAAGTCTGTTTCCCTAAAAATTATGTCGCGACGAATGAAGACTTTCCGTTTGTTTTCGTCATACAATCTGTATCCCTTTTGTTTCAAACTGTAGCCAACAAATCGCATTTTTTCAGCTTTTGGCTCCAGTTTCGGACGTAGTGAATCTGTAACATGAGCATATGCAATGCAACCAAAGACGCGAAAGTTAGAGACATCTGGTTTCTCACCATACCATCGCTCATATGGTGTAACTCCTGTTGCAGTTGTGACAATTCGATTTCTGATGTATGCTGCAGCTGAAATTGCTTCCCCCCAGAAACTCTTCGCAATTCCTGCATGTAAGATCATCGAAAGAGCAGTTTCCTGGAGCGTCCTGTTCATTCGTTCAGCAACACCATTTTGTTGCGGTGAATGAGGAACGGTTGTTTCGTGTCTGATTCCCTTTTTCTTGAGATAATCTTCAAATTCGTTGGACAAGTATTCACCTCCATTATCAGTTCGTAATGTTTTAATATGGCAGTCTGCTTGATTTGTTACTGCCAATTTCCATTCTTTAAATTTTGTCAGTACTTCTGATTTACATTTGATAGGGTAAACACTTACACATCTTGAGTAGTCGTCGATAAATGTCACAAAGTATTTTGCACCACCAAAACTTTCTGTATTCATGGGTCCTGCGACATCGCTGTGTACAAGCTCTAGCCTTTTTGTTGACTTAACTCCTCCCACTGCTTTGAAGGGTGCTCGATGTAACTTTCCCTTTACACAGGCTTCACAAAAGTCTAGCTTGTTTGTCCCAGAAATGTCAATACCTGTCACAATAGCTTTTGAAACCATTGTCTTCATCTGAGGTAAATTCATGTGACCCATTCTTTGATGCCATAGATTTATTTTTTGATTTGATGTTTCCGCCACCGATGCTTGCTTTCTTCCTTCCTCAACTTTGCAGTCTAGGCAATACATATTACCAGCAAGACGACCTTTAGTAATAAGTTTTCCTTTAGCATTCTTTATCCAGCAAAGTGTGTGAACAAATTGTACTACATTTCCTTTTGCAGTGACAGCTCGGGCACTAAAGAGATTAGCAGTTATTTTGGGGACATATAGGACTTTTGCCATTGTTGACTTTCGTTGATACTTTTCTTTTGGTCCAAGGATCATCATGATTTGTATTTTTCCACTTCCACAAGCATCAACAGATCGACCATCTCCAAGAACGACGGGTTCTGGCACTGGGAATTCTTTATAGTTCTGTAGCAGTTGACGGTTTGATGTCATATGTTGCGAGGCTCCTGAGTCGATGATCCAGTTGTCAGCACCTTTTACTGTGTTCAGACCAACGGCAAATAGATTTTCACCAGAATCAGTATCTCTTCCACAATTATCCTGCACAGCCGCTGCAATATGTCTTGAAGACATGCCATTAGTTTTACAATCTTGATTTCTTCGATTCTGACGTCTCTTGTTACGTGGGCAGTTTCGAAGGATATGGTTCTCTTCTCCGCATCCATAGCATTTGATATGCTTTCGAGGAGGCTTGTTGTGCTGTAGTGCAGACTCGCCTTCACCAAATTCTTCACCAGTCAATTTACTGTTGTTTTGTTTACGTTTCTCTTCCTCATTGATCAATGCTTGATGCAATTGAGTCAAATTTAGATCATCTCCTCTTGCAGTCAAAGCAGTCACGACGGTATTATATGAGCGTGGTAGACTAAGCAGCAAAGCGACCATACGTTCATCCTCGGGGATGGGGGCTTGAATAGCTGCCAACTGATCAGTAATTACTTTCATTCGACGGAAGTGCTCATCCAATTTATCAGACTCTTTCATCTTTAAAGAGAAAAATCGTTGTTTTAGAAATAGCTTGTTCGCCATAGTATCACGCTCAAATCGTCCTCTCAGTGTGTCCCCATATTTCTTTTGGAGTTTCACACCCAGTTATCAGGTATATAAGATCGGAGTTGATCGATGTAACTAACAGAGCTTTCGTCTTTTTCTGTGCTTTTTCAAAGGCTGTTTGCCTCCCAGAGCTACCCTCTGATGTGTCAGGACGTGTCAGAGATCCATCGACATGGCCAAATAATTCCTTAGCTTCCAATATGGCTTTCATTTGGTATTTCCATATTTGCCAGTTTTTTGCGCCTTCGAGTTTATCAATTGACAGTTTGTCTTCCTGAGCCATTACAACACAATAAATCGCACACGATTAAATTTTACTTACTTTTGCCTAGCGTTAGCAATGTCTGTGCCCATAACCTGTTAGTTTAACGAAATATTCGCAGAGAGAAAATAAGTAAAAGTTTATTTATTAAGAAAAAAAACAAGAACGTATATATAACGTACAACTGAGCCAGCGATTGTATAGAGCTGCGCCCGCAATGTCATATTAAAGTAATACTTGATAAAACTAACAAAATATCATAATGCTGAGTGTACATTTAATAAATTCAACAGTTAGCTCTCGTCACTTTAATGTGTGTCTCAATGCTATTACCGTACTTTGTATTATTGTGAAAATGTTAATATGGTGAAGTGAAATTAACAAATTTGGTCCGAGTGATTTATTAGTAAAATCTCTTACCTTGATTTTTTATCAGGGAATGGAACATAGAAAGGGTAAACAAAGCCTCGCGATCATCTTCGCTGCAGTCCAATGACTTTATCAAGGTTTGAAAATATGCCCTGCAAAATAAGAGCGACGACCTCTTAGCAAAAAAGGAAGACATGAACGGCCATCTTTTATCCCAGACCGAAAAGACGATCCCCGAGAAATTTTGCAAAAACGCCGCGTGCAAAAAAGCTTGGGATATTGACAAAAATTTTATAATAAGTACCTGCTAGGTGTGAAACTTGATGAACGAGAAAGCAAGCTCTACAAAAATAAACAAACACCTTAAGTTGGACCCAAGAGAACACAGAGCAAACTAATTATATGCCAGGCAAATTGTATTTTACAACAAAATACTTTCACTAAAAGTATTACACAGCATCTTTCAAGTTCAACATTTGTTTCATATTTTTCTGGGGGGTGGGGACTTGAGATTAGCTGCTTTGACAAGAGGAGACATGGGGGTCACAGCAAAAACATTTGGCAGTTTTAAGCACTTGAAGAGTCCAATAAATCTTTCACGCAGCCACCGAATGAAAATATACTAAGTAAAAATTCACAAAAATGTTATTGAGCGAATTTTATTTTTCAAAGTGTATCATTCATCTAAGTTGCGTTTTGCTTCTTCATTTTTGATTTGAAAACTTTTTGACCGTGCAAAAACAGCATATCATCTTCGTAAAAAAAGTCCAAACCCAGGGTTGTAGGAAAATCGATAATTGGGGGAAAGTCGTATCTCGATGTTCTTATGGTCATGTCAAAACCCGTTCACACGAAGCCGGAATAACGCTGTCTATAGTGGGCAGTGACGTTTTCAAACGTATCAAAAAGATGGATTTATTATCTTCAAGAAAATTTATACATTTAATGCTATGTACTGTTCACTTTGAATCAAAAATATTTGAGAAATGTCACGAATACCTACCTTTGGAAGTGGAGGTTCAGCATCAGACATCTTGATACTGTTAGGAATAGCAGATTCTTCGGTCGTAAATCCTGGAAAATATAAATACATACCAGCATGTCGTATGGTGAAAACTTTCAAATCAATATGTTATTTAAGACAAACATTAGGATAGTTAACTAAAACTCCAAGATCGAATGTCTTAATGCCTTATTTCACAAACCTTTCACTTCGGATGATGACTGCTTCGTATTCAATAATAAACCATCGCCATCATCGTCATCTCCAGTAACATGACCAAGTGGAGTATCGCTCATAGAGACAAGTTCTGCATCACCTAAGCCAACTAAATATACAATTTTGTAATAAGATATCATCCGTAAAATCTTCCATATAATTATATATAAAAAAAAACTGAACAGTTAGAAAAAAAAAGTGAAATGCATCAGTGCACAAAATTTACAAAGCCTTTGGCGGAAATATAGAATGTCGGACTGCCAATGGTTCATCTGACGGTATAGTGGTCATAAACAATAACACCGTTGAGCATTGTGTTACCGACAAGCACTTTTGAAACAGGTTGCGCACGAGTGTTTACTTATTGTTTTTATATGCAGCCCAGTATGTAGAATATGTATAGTGCATTTCAAATAAAAATTGGAAATAATTCAATTTTATTCTTAAGCGTTGATTATAACATGTGTTTTATTTATTTGCATTGACATCAAGTATCGCAATAAAATTCCTGATACGTGACCATTCTTTTCCAAGCTACATAAACATGAAGCTGGGCAGGTAAACTAACACTATACTTTACTGATATCGAACACACCAGTCTTACAACGACGTTATGTAGGGGAGCTAACAATGAAGGGTTCGACGACGTTATGTAGGGAGCTAACAATGAAGGGTTCGACGACGTTATGTAGGGAGCTAACAATGAAGGGTTCGACGACGTTATGTAGGAGCTAACAATGAAGGGTTCGACGACGTTATGTAGGAGCTAACAATGAAGGGTTCTATGACGTTATTTAGGAGCTAACAATGAAGGGTTCGACGACGTTATGTAGGAGCTAACAATGAAGGGTTCTATGACGTTATGTAGGGAGCTAACAATGAAGGGTTCTATGACGTTATGTAGGGAGCTAACAATGAAGGGTTCGACGACGTTATGTAGGGAGCTAACAATGAAGGGTTCGACGACGTTATGTAGGGAGCTAACAATGAAGGGTTCTATGACGTTATGTAGGGAGCTAACAATGAAGGGTTCGATGACGTTATTTAGGGAGCTAACAATGAAGGGTTCGACGACATTATGTAGGGAGCTAACAATGAAGGGTTTGACGACGTTATGTAGGAAGCTAACAATGAAGGGTTCGACGACGTTATGTAGGGAGCTAACAATGAAGGGTTCGACGACGTTATGTAGGGAGCTAACAATGAAGGGTTCGATGACGTTATTTAGGGAGCTAACAATGAAGGGTTCGACGACATTATGTAGGGAGCTAACAATGAAGGGTTTGACGACGTTATGTAGGAAGCTAACAATGAAGGGTTCGACGACGTTATGTAGGGAGCTAACAGTGAAGGATTCTATGACGTTATTTAGGGAGCTAACAATGAAGGATTCTATGACGTTATGTAGGGAGCTAACAATGAAGGGTTCTATGACGTTATGTAGGAGCTAACAATGAAGGGTTCGACGACGTTATGTAGGAAGCTAACAATGAAGGGTTCGACGACGTTATGTAGGAGCTAACAATGAAGGTTCGACGACGTTATGTAGGGAGCTAACAATGAAGGGTTCGACGACGTTATGTAGGGAGTTAACAATGAAGGGTTCTATGGCGTTATGTAGGGAGCTAACAATGAAGGGTTCGACGACGTTATGTAGGAAGCTAAAAATGAAGGGTTCGACGACGTTATGTAGGGAGCTAACAATGAAGGGTTCGACGACGTTATGTAGGGAGCTAACAATGACGTTTCACGTCGTAGCGTTTGACAAACATGTTAAAACTGAGCCAACTAAATATACGTTTTCAAACAAAATAGCGACTGACTAGAAAGATGTTGTTTGAATGATATCCCTAAAGATGAGCAATTCTTATCTGAAGTTTTGAAAAAGTTTATTTGCTCGTGATAAAAGGAAAATTTGACTTTTTTTACGTGCCAATTAAATTGGTTGAAAAGCTGACGTGTCAGCTTTTATATGGTAATAAAAATCATCACATGCAAATAAAAATTGGCAGAAGTAAGGAATTATAGCCGTCCACCAGCTATTTTTCGGGAGTTTTATTTTTCTAACACAAAGCCAGTTACACTTGTCAAATGTTTGACATGTCGTTTGCATGGGCTAGAAAGTTGTTATAGAAAAAATTTTCTCATAAAATTTGTTAGTGTAAACCAGGCTTTTGGAGCGATCGTCAACCCGTATAGGCATCATGTAAACGTATTCCAAATAAGAGACGATCAATTAGCTACAGTCGAAATTTTGAATTTATTTCATAAACCACGATTTTAAAAGTGAACAGCAAAATCCACCAATATTGAATCGCATTTGGCACTTTCAAAAACTACCTATTCAGAAAACTAACAAAAATCGCAAAAAATCAATTGCACCTTTAGGGGAATCGGACAAATTATCATCATCTGAGCGCATCAGAACCTCATTATCAGAAACGTTGTTATCTTCCTTTGGCTCCATTTTCCGTCGCCCCAAACGCCTTTCCTCGCTAACGCGATATTTTTCTGAAACGCCATCTAAGACAGAATAGTGCAAAATAGAAATAAAATATTTGGAAATCAAGATGAAACGGTGGTCTGAAAATCTTGGCTATCTCTAACCTTTAGTGTAAAACTTTGAGTTGGCGACGTGTCTTGAACGTTTTCTGGTCAATTCGCTAAGACGATTTGTAATTGTATAGCCTTCGTTATTAATACCACATGCAAGTAATGCCTCTTCCAGACTGTCGGAAGGCGCTACAAATGCTCGAACACCATTTGAAATGTTGGACTACATCGTGATAATATGAAATATAATGAAAATCATTTATTTATGGTTGCAGTTGGAATACGTTTTAATAAAGTGAACTTTCATTACAAGCTTGTTTATCTAAAGATTACCTTCAATATGAACATTTTTATCTAAAGGTATTACCTTTAGTACAAACATGTTGATCAAAATACAATCTTCACTACTAACATGCTCATCTATAGAAGACCTACTATATGGGAAGAAAAACATTAAACTTATTAGCTAAAAAAGTTCGATGTTTAGAAAACCTAGATGTAACTAAAGGACACATACCATTGAGTTCTTTTAATAACTGGAGCGCCTAGGTGGACTGGGACCTGACGCCAAAACATGGCGGCAATTGACCTATTTCCGCTGAAATGATCGCTTTGCAGAAAAATAATATTCGCGACCTCCCCCTGATGTCTATAGTTAATTATATAGCATTTCTCTTATAATGCCAACACTTTTATCGTTCAATTGTTGGACATCGTAGTGTCCGCAAAAAGGAAAATGTTGCTTTAACAGGTGAGATATTTGTTTTGTTTGTTCATCAAAAACTGAAAAGCAATTGAACTTGAAAAGACATAAAATCCGACTGATGTTTTCCTCCTTTTTTTAAATATCAACATATTTCTCCACTTATTTGTTAATGTGTGAAACGGTAAATTCACCAATCTATTTGTAAAATAGTTTCCCTGACGCGAAAAAAGACTCTGCTCTTTTCACTCAGTGGATACATACTATGTAGAAACGACGAGTACCAATGAAGTAGAGCGGAGTTTGTTCTGATCAATTTGCTGACAACGTGAAGAGATAATCAGATAGCAAAATGTTTCTGGAATATAGTGTAGTACCAGTACCAACACTATTTCATAGAGCACCATGAAGACAATTGGAAGATGCCATTGACCTGGCAGAGTCTAACTGCAAAATGATAAGGCTGAATACAAGGGTAAATGATTTATAGCCTTCCCTGTCCAACAGTTGATTGAACTTGTACTGATTCTATGGATGAAGACAATGAATTTATAAAGATGCCTTGAATGCATGGAAAGTGAATGTCAAGTACCAAATAAAGATGACAAGGTTCTGTGTGTCTTGATGCTTGATGAAATGTCATATAAAATGGTCATAAAGCTTGTGCTTATGTCAATATTTGATACTGAGATGGATGATGACTAACTGGAACTGTACAATCCAGTGTGTTTTGTATAACTATATGCTAAAATCATGTCATATCTTTATTAAAATATTTTAGTACAGTGTTGTTTGTATGTTACTTATATGTAATGCATGCCAAACTGAAGCATTAAAGATTCAGTGATGAAAACCTCAGTGCTATAATCGTAATTTCAGTTTTTGCTGAAAAAATATTTTGAGCTTATTTACCTAATAAAGTATAGAATGGACTTTGCCATTTGCTTTATTTCCTGACTAATTAAACCAGGGAATGTTTTGGCTTTTCCAAGTTTTTCTTCAATTTTTTCCTTCTTAATTCATTTCATAATATAAATGAAAAGCAGGTAGTACAGTTTAATAACTTTATACTTTTTGAAAAGCTTTTAAGCTTCTAGCATTAAAGAACACAAAATGTGTTTAATTCATTTGGTTTTATTGCCTTGTTTTTACATGTGTACATGCACTTCATCATTCTTGTATAAACAACACCAGATGTAGCATACTTAGAGGGAAAAATCCCATAGCAACTGGTATTAAATATGGGTATGATATTTGTTATTGAAGTGAAAGCTGTATTAGTCAATCAAATTCTGAACTCACATGGCTAATATGCAAAACATAAAAAAGAGAAAAAGTAGAGAAGTATTAAAAATACAATTGTGTTTCATGTATGCAAGTATTATAAATACAATTACAACTTAAGTGTTTTAATAATTCTTTGCATTTCTGCCCATTTCACAAATAAATACAACAAAATCAAATATGCTACAACTTTACAACTATTTGATGCAGTTCTAGTTTAGAAAACCATAAAAATCTCAAAGGTTCTTTGTATACAATATTTTTTTCATTATTCATTTATTAAAGGCGAGATGCATGTACAAGACTAAATCCTACAATTGTTGCGAAAAAGGCCATCACATGAAAGAAAGTAAAAAAGTAACGAAGATGAATGACCTAACATTTCTTTCGTGATCCGTAGAGATAAAATATGTTATATTTTGTTTCGTGCAGACTACAAACTTTGATCGAGCAAACATTAAACGACAGTTACGACGCGCAAATCTGCATTCATGTGTGGCCAACAAATAGCTCGTTCGTCGATAGTTATTAAAGGCATCCCTCATAGAAGCCAATGCCTGGCAACCACAGACTCGCTTTCATGAATTTTATGTTTTTGCCGCGATTCTCATCATAAAATTGCTTGCCAAATATGCGAAAAACATATACCTTTTCCCTCACTCTTTCTTAAGGGGAGTGAAATTGTGAAATTTTCTGCAAAGCGGTCATTTTCGGTAAGTCTCAGCGGAAATAGGTCAATTCCTCCATTTTTTTGGCAACAGCCGCTAATTAAAGCCGTGTTAGAGATAGCCGCTCCAGTTATTATAGAACTCAATGACACATACGTATTGACTCAGTCGGATTACTTTTGTGAAGGGTTAAAATTTCCATAATTTCTTAAAAGCACGATGGATATCAGACATTTTAAATGAACGACGAGTTTTTTTTATCGTAAACATGTTTCGGCAGGCTTATGCCATCTTCAGTACATAGAATAAAGGTGATTGTGCTATTTACATGAAAATTAAAATTTGCTAATTAAAATTTGCTAATCTCTTACTTTGCCTGAATTGCCCGATGAAATTGAGGAGTCACATGTAGAAGAAAATGCTTCATCTCCTTGTAAAATGACATCAGTAAGAGTGGAGACTAACGGCGGATGTTTGATGATAAGAAAGATCTGTATATGTGAATAAAACCACTTGTTAATAGATGTATTAACTAACACTACAAACTGGGGCCGGTAGTATAAAGCTCTTAACTACTTTTTAACTACACTTTTTGCAGTTAAAAAGTAGTTAAATTTAACCACGCGGTTAAGTCGGTTGTATAAAAAAGTAGTTAGCGCTAATTGCAGTTAAAAGGTAGTTAAAGTTACCTATGCTATGGAGCATAGTTAACTTTTGAAAAAACAGTTAAATATGGCGGCTTAGCTTCTCAAAGACAATTACGGGCGAGATGTTGTTGATCAACAAGGTTTTACCTCGAGTTTTTAATCACATATGTATCTTCCATGGCAAAGGCTTTTAGAATAAAAGCTTTATGGACGGTGTACTACATTCGTCAATGATGTAAACATCCCAAGTTTTGCTTACGAAAAACAGCCAACAACTTACCCCATAACAAATCCCTTTTTACACAAGAGCAATTGCATTTTGTATTGTCTTTTCTTGCGTCCGGTAGCTCTTTCAACTCATAAGTGAGACTGTCAATTGAGATAGAGCCACTTCTTTAAGATTAGTGCACATAACTCGCTGACATTGTCTTACAACCACGTACAATTCGTTCAATGACAAAAAAAAGAAAGAATGTAATTCAAGCAATGAATCCTATAGCCTTGGATGTATCAAATATTCAAATTGCGAGTTTCCCTATGCATTTTGCTTTATTGAATATCATATGCATCATATAAACTCATTGCTCTATGGAAAATAAGCTAAATTATGTTAAAACAAAGAGGTACTACAGTATAAATATTGTGGTAACTATACCAATGACATGAGCTTTACAACAGTTTTTATTCATGACTACTCTTTTGTGTATCAGCTGCATGAGATACAATGATGTTAGTTTCTTAAATACATAAAACATTTCATTAGCATGCAAGGTGAAGGTCCATGTTGCTTGATATATATACATTATCCATTGCACATGGTTTATAACACAAGCAGAAAATATACATGACAGTCAATTAGTGGGTTTTATTGATATTTCGTCATATATTTCCTATGTAAAAATGTTTATTTTTAATGTACTTACAATCTTGGCTGCCAATATTTTTCTAAGAAGCAGAAAGCTCTAGCTACTATTTGATGATTTAAAAAGTATGAAAAAAAATAAAACTCCCAAGCTTTAGACAAAAATAGGCTAATAAATAACAAAGGCATAAGTAAAAGTTTCATAGCTAAGGCTCATTAACAAATATACCCTAGAGTTTTATAACTCAGTTTTGCAAGGCAGAATTAATAACAAATAAGTATTTTGTGTATAGCTGTGAATATAACATGTCACAAGCAGAGAAAAGACAGTTGCTGGATTACGTTGCAAATAACTATGATGACTCTAAGAAATGTTTTCTAATAATAAAAAAGTCCATCACTGTCATCTTTTACAAATATGTGTGACTTATGTCTGCGCAGACACATTTCTTTCAAGCATTTTACTCAGCTGTTATAAAGAGAAACGAAACGACCTTTTCTTTGTTACCCTCAATCTCTCAGTTTTAAATTCTGTAAAAGCAAGGCCATTTAAATATTTAAATCCTTGCAACATTTCACGTCCTAACCAAAAATCTGGGGCCGGTTGTATAAAAACGTAGTTAACTTTAACTATAGTTAACGCTAACTACAGTAGTTAACTCCTTAACTATAGTAACTTAACTTCCCTACTTAACTGCGTTGCACTAAACGTAGTTTGCCGGATAGTTAAGTAACTACGTAGTTAACTTGCGTGGAAATTGCGTGTAGTGTTGTTTACATAAATGACATAAAGTTTAATCAATTCACGCTTTGTAATGGCGGGCAAGTGAACTAGAAAATGACTTCAAAATCAAGAAAAATCTCTTGGCTTATGTAAAAATCTTAAAATATGGCAAACTATCATCGTTTTTACGGATGTTGATGATGCAAAAAGAAAATTTAATAAACGATTCACGGTGACATGGTAACCGGATTTTCTTGTAGCATATATTTTATACTTTTCTCAAGAAAATCGACCCTTTCCTTCTGTGTAATACAGAACGATGTTGATGAATGATATGAGTCTCGGCAAGGACTGCTTTATTTCATGTACCAATTGTATATAATGGACTTGGGCAAACAAAACAATGAACTCTTCTCAAATTGATTCATATTGTTTTATGTGCAAGGATTTAAATATTTAAATGGCCTTGCTTTTACAGAATTTAAAACTGAGAGATTGAGGGTAACAAAAGAAAAGGTCGTTTCGTTTCTCTTTATAACAGCTGAGTAAAATGCTTGAAAGAAATGTGTCTGCACAGAAATAAGTCACACATATTTGTAAAAGATGACAGTGATGGACTTTTTTATTATTAGAAAACATTTCTTAGAGTCATCATAGTTAGGTAATCCAGCGACTGTCTTTTCTCTGCTTGTGACATGTTATATTCACAGCTATATACAAAATACTTATTTGTTCTTAATTCTGCCTTGCAAAAACTGAGTTATAAAAACTCTAGGGTATATTTGTTAATGAGCCTTAGCATTGAAACTTTTACTTATGCCTTTGTTATTTATTAGCCTATTTTGTCTAAAGCAGTTTTATTTTTTCATACTTTTAAATCATCAAATAGAAGCTAGATAGAAAAAATATTGGCCCAAGATTTAAGATGAGTAATCGGCAATGGACTGCTTTATTTCATGTACCAATTGTATATAATGGACTTGGGCAAACAAAACAATGAACTCTTCTCAAATTGATTCATATTGTGTTTTATGTGCAAGGATTTAAATATTTAAATGGCCTTGCTTTTACAGAATTTAAAACTGAGAGATTGAGGGTAACAAAAGAAAAGGTCGTTTCGTTTCTCTTTATAACAGCTGAGTAAAATGCTTGAAAGAAATGTGTCTGCACAGAAATAAGTCACACATATTTGTAAAAGATGACAGTGATGGACTTTTTTTATTATTAGAAAACATTTCTTAGAGTCATCATAGTTAGTAGCCACGTAATCCAGCGACTGTCTTTTCTCTGCTTGTGACATGTTATATTCACAGCTATATACAAAATACTTATTTGTTCTTAATTCTGCCTTGCAAAAACTGAGTTATAAAAACTCTAGGGTATATTTGTTAATGAGCCTTAGCATTGAAACTTTTACTTATGCCTTTGTTATTTATTAGCCTATTTTTGTCTAAAGCTTGGGAGTTTTATTTTTTTTCATACTTTTTAAATCATCAAATAGAAGCTAGAGCTTTCTGCTTCTTAGAAAAATATTGGCAGCCAAGATTGTAAGTACATTAAAAATAAACATTTTTATATAGGAAATATATGATGAAATATCAATAAAACCCACTAATTGACTGTCATGTATATTTTCTGCTTGTGTTATAAACCATGTGCAATGGATAATGTATATATATCAAGCAACATGGACCTTCACCTTGCATGCTAATGAAATGTTTTATGTATTTAAGAAACTAACATCATTGTATCTCATGCAGCTGATACACAAAAGAGTAGTCATGAATAAAAACTGTTGTAACGCTCATGTATCTATACGTATTATCATTGGTATATTTAGCACAACATTTATACTGTAGTACCTCTTTGTTTTAACATAATCTAGCTTATTTTCCTTAGAGCAATGAGTTTATATGATGCATATGATATTCAATCAAGCAAAATGCATAGGAAAAACCGCAATTTGAATATTTGATATATCCAAGGCTATAGGATTCATTACTCGAATAACATTCTTTCTTTTTTGTCATTGAACGAATTGTACGTGGTTGTAAGACAATGTCAGCGAGTTATGTGCACTAATCTTAAAGAAGTGGCTCTATCTCAATTGAGAGTCTCACTTATGAGTTGAAAGAGCTACCGGACGCAAGAAAAGACAATACAAAATGCAATTGCTCTTGTGTAAAAGGATTTGTTATGGGTAAGTTGTTGGCTGTTTTCGTAAGCAAAACTTGGGATGTTTACATCACTGACGAATGTAGTACACCGTCCATAAAGCTTTTATTCTAAAAGCCTTTGCCATGGAAGATACATATGTGATTAAAAACTCGAGGTAAAACCTTGTTGATCAACAACATCTCGCCCGTAATTGTCTTTGAGAAGCTAAGCCGCCATATTTAACTGTTTTCAAAGTTAACTATGCTCCATAGCATAGGTAACTTTACCTTTTAACTGCAATTAGCGCTAACTACTTTTTTATACAACCGACTTAACCGCGTGGTTAAATTTAACTACTTTTTAACTGCAAAAAGTGTAGTTAAAAAGTAGTTAAGAGCTTTATACAACCGGCCCCAGATAATATAAGAGACAAGAAAGACCGTTTGCCGAAACAGAAAGTTTAAGAGAATACCGGTATGTCTACATGAAAAAGTAAGATTTTGTCTCGACAACGCGAGATCTTGGTTTACGCCAGTAACGAGACTTCAATTCCCATATAAATGCTTCATTCCGTCTACCTGGACATATATACTGTTGTACAACTCCTATATCTAAGCAATCGGATTCTCAAGCAAGACGAGACGTTTTTGCTTAAATAAATTATTCATCCCGCCAGCCTGTAAATTGTTGCAAAGACTTGTGTTCCGATTATTACAGTCTTCGCTGATCACAATGGAACTGAGCTTTGTATATGTTATTTAACATTTTCTTTGAATCACCTGTGACAATAAATACAGGGCGAAAAGCTTGCACACTCCCGGTCTTTCGTTCTAAAGAATTGAAAATAAAGACATAAAAATACAGCACAAATATAGTCCCTAAATATAGTGAACATGATAACCATTTCATTTTAATGCAAATATTTTAGTTGGGAATAAATGTTTCTACTCTTTCTTAACAAACAAAAACACTTCAAAACAACCGTTCCTCCAAAAGAGCGTTCACAGGCTAGATATTATTGACAAAAATAACCGTTCCTCCAAGAGAACGTTCCTAGGCTAGAAATTATTGACAAAAATAACAGTTCCTCCAAGAGAACGTTCCTAGGCTAAATATTATTGACAAAAATAACCGTTCCTCCAAGAGAACGTTCCTAGGCTAAATATTATTGACAAAAATGACCGTTCCTCCAAGAGAACGTTCCTAGGCTAGATATTATTGACAAAATAACCGTTCCTCCAAGAGAACGTTTCTAGGCTAGATATTATTGACAAAACAACCGTTCCTCCAAGAGAACGTTCCTAGGCTAGATATTATTGACAAAAATAACCGTTCCTCCAAGAGAACGTTTCTAGGCTAGATATTACTGACAAAAACAGCCGTTCCTCCAAGAGAACGTTCCTAGGCTAGATATTATTGACAAAAATAACCGTTCCTCCAAGAGAACGTTTCTAGGCTAGATATTATTGACAAAACAACCGTTCCTCCAAGAGAACGTTCCTAGGCTAGATATTATTGACAAAAATAACCGTTCATCCAAGAGAACGTTTCTAGGCTAGATATTATTGACAAAATAACCGTTCCTCCAAGAGAACGTGTCTAGGCTAGATATTATTGACAAAAACAACCGTTCCTCCAAGAGAACGTGTCTAGGCTAGATATTATTGACAAAATAACCGTTCCTCCAAGAGAACGTTCCTAGGCTAGATACTATAGACAAAAATAACCGTTCCTGTAAGAGAACGTTTCTAGGCTAGATACTATAGACAAAAACAACTGTTCAGAGCAACCAGCACTTCATCATGTGAGTTATCAGAACGTATGATCAGTGGATTTTACGTGACGACATAGCAATCTACAATAACTACCTTAAACAGATGATGATGTAACTAATTTTTTTATCCCATATCGAAAAAAAGCTGAATATGTAATGCTGCAAAAATAAATTAGTCACCTCTTCCAAGTCGTTATCGACAAATGAATGAACGTATAGCGGTATGATCAAACGATCCAGTAGGTAATCCGTGAGTATCTCGTTCAATTCAACAATATTTAAACAAAGTATGTCGTTGATGTAGTGAAGATGGTCCAAATGATCAGCAACAAGATCTTTTAAACGTTCACAGTGTAAATGACTAGTGTAAGGTAACATAAACCTTTTTAAATAAAGTTTTACTATAATGATAATTATACACTCACACACACACCACAATACAAAAAAGGCAGACTATATGACTACATGTGTAGAAAAACGTTGAAATGTGATCATGAACTCACTCTGACTCGGAAATGGAGCACTTCTCGAGTTCCATCGCATGGTTGCCAACAAACCAAATAAGGTTACAAAAATATGCACCTGCTGTCTTGTTCACGATAAAATTCAGCATTGCCTTGTCACTCACTGCAATATTCACTATGATAATTAGCATAGCACAAAATTGTTTCCAATATTTGGTAAAAAAGCATTGTTTTTCCTATGTTTTGCACAAACGTCCATGAGTAAAAGTTACTCTATAATTGAGTCACTGTTGTTGTTAATCAAATTTTTGAGTTAGACCTACGTACAATTTGAGTTATTGCAGCGTTACTCTTACAAATGAGTAAAATGTTTTCGGTGTAAAATAGTATATATCTACTCATTATGAAGATTATATTTTAGCTACTCGGGTATAATTTACTCAAAAATTCTTGTAACTCTTAGCATGAATATAACAGTTTTACTCAATATTTTGAGCAAATAGTAATTTTTACTCAGCAGCCAAGTTAAAATGTTATTACTCTCTTTCCTGAGTAAGCAATGGGTATGCGTGTACTCCTAAATAAGAGTTGACGTACACTCGCAATTTTGAGTAACTCAGGAAATGTTCGTATTTAGAAGACACCATGCTCAATAAGATTTCTCTCACAATTCTTTCAGTGTTTATATCACACAACCACTTATCCCCCCTCGAAATGATTTCTGCCTTTGGTGCCATGTTATAGCCCGACTGAGAAAAAAACTAACCAGGCACACTTTATCTTATCATTCGAAACGATGATTTTGTGTTTTGAGCATTTATAACGCAGTTGAATAGCATCGACAGAAAGCGAATGTGTGGAACAGTGGAAGTATGCTTAAATTTTTCGTGTTATTATTACTCCGAGTATACCAGTAGGGAAACCGGGGTTTTAACTTTGCCAATTTTTTTTTAATTCCTTCGGTGTCGAGAATTGGCAAGTACATAATAGGCAGTAAAAAAGAAATGCTCGGCCATTGTCCAGTAATGTTGGATATAATCATAATTATCATGCACACCAAAGAATGATGAACGTAATGGATAGCATGTTTAACAGATGAAAAACTGTAGCTAAAGCAAAATGAGGTCCGTTAGTTGTTAAATATACTAATATTTTTTGTTGAGTAACTTATATGTAACGTTTTCGTTTTTGTTCAAATTTTACCTAGTTAAAATATTTTTTGTTAAAATATTTCTTGTGCTAAACTTCTTTTTGACTGCTTGTGAAAAAAAAACGTTGGGCAAACATTGGACAAATTATGTCCTAATTTTGCATTTCTGTTTCTGTCGAATCACCGAAACAAACAAATCCAGTACAATTTTCAGTAATACTAATATAAAACAAAGACGTGGCTCACAAAATGTAGTTGTCAAAACTAATTACGTCATCATCAAACTCTCTTCGTTAACAGCCCATTTCACAAAATATACACGTAATGTAGCAAAATTTGTTCAAATGTTCGTTGCGAAGTGTTGTACAATAATACTTAATAATAATGAGTCCATTTAATAAGGATGTTGATCTTGGCTTTGCAATTTTATTGAATAACAAATGAGCTTTGAGAACAACATTTGAACGTTCGAGCAAACTTTGCAAGGCACGCAGAAAGATATAAGGAATAGATTCTACAAAAAGTCATTGTTTTTACCTCGAAATACATTGAGTGTCAACGTTCTCACAGCAATTCGAACCATATTTTCTTTGTGATCAAAAAACTTCAATGCTTCCGTGAACAATGCAAAGTCATTCTTTCGCTAAAAAATGAAAAGTAAAACAGATAGTTGAGTTAAAATTAATTACGCATGCGAATATTTTTAGTAAGATCCACTCAAAACTTTGCTTGTCTACAGTAGTGTAGCCCCAGACACAAAATTGCAGGTTCATTTTATTTCAAAATAGAAAACATTTTTCGTGTTTCTGTAAAGAGTTATAGAAGCCCGCAGAAAGGTTTAGGAGAAAAGAGAAATTCCGTGAAGAAATTCCGAGAACTGCGAATGTTCTAAGCAATTTCAAGTTTCTCTTAAACTTTCAATTAAATGTGACGAAGTATTTTTATTGTATTTTTACACTAAAAGCACATCAAAAAGTAACTAACCTACAGTATTTCAGTCTTACCTCATTGAAAAAAAAATTAATAACATGGCAATTGAGTTTCAGCGAAAGTGTCTTCAAGAAAGAAATATAGTAGGCTAGTATCTGTATAAAGAAAGAACATGTAATAAGCCTTTACTGACTTTAAGTTAACAAGTGAAGACATAGAGTACTGTACCTCTTCGTTAGAAAAATCAAATCTGTGAATAATGATAGAATTGACGTGATTATTTGATAACAAGTAATCTAAAATAAGCAAATGCACAAAATATGAGAATAAAATTCATATTCGTAGGATAGTATGACTATGTAAGGAAGGTGTTCCCACATATATATAATCTTTACAAATTCCAATTGAAGATTTGAAGGTAGTTAATAGCCGAACAGGTTATAATACTATAAAAAATCTTCAAATCTTCTGCCTAAAGGTGATAGACCAAGTACGTGCCTAACGCTAATTCTAGGATGCGAAGACAACGACCGACGACAGGAAACATGACAGTGAAACAGGAAAAGATGGAAGGAGATACGACACTGACTTATATTTTACTCACCACTAAACCGCACAATACACTATGCAAATAAGCCCGTGCCGTATCTATACTAAAAACATGGAAGCCAAGATTTTTGTTATATATTATCATAGGTCCAAACATATTTAGATGTTTACGAGCATGTTTGTAACCGACCGCAAATTTTGACTTTCTTGAATGTCTCGGACCTTTTAGATTTAACTACTGTCAAGTTAAACGTAACGTAAAAACGTCTTACGCCAAAAAAACAAAGACAGTTTTCTGGAAAACTCAAGCAATTTAAGAAATTTTCGTCTGGTTCTGAACGAACTTAAACTTAACCCAAAGTGAAGGATTATGATTAAACAAATATTATAATTAATGATTTAATAAACTTTGTAAAAACCTTTTCTTTAACTCTGTAGATAACTGAAAAAACAGCTATTTAATTTATTTGTGATTTGCCATTGTTTGTAATTGCATTTGTACTCACAAACATTCCTCGTGGAAATGAACTATGGTTGGCATGGCCAGCATGGATTTAAAATCAAGGTTTTAGATCCAGTTGAAAAAATTTGCTTGGGAGTTACATAGAGGATGCTTCATGTCAAATAAAAGGGCAGACACAGGTGAGCCACAAATTAATTTGCATTTTTGCAAAATTCTTCCTAACTATTAACACACACAGAGAAAACATTACTATTACTATTATCTTAGATACCGACTTACACAGTGAGGTTTCATGGCGAATATTTTCAAATAATATGTTCAATGTCTGCATTAACTGCACACACACATATGCTCCAGGATTTTGATTCAAAATTTTCAGGAAAAATAAAAGCATGTTCTTCTCAAGGAAGAAGCTATAAAGGAAAATATGTTCTATCAATGAAATTTATTGCTTTCAATAGATTATAACATTTATACATGAACACGAGCCTTTGAAATTTCCCACCTCTCCCCAATTATCTATGTTCGTACGGCATCTTAAGTGCTGACATAAATAATCTTGATCATTTAGTCTAGAGAGTATGTCGTCTTTAATGATTGTTAATGCTCTGGGGTAAAAATGATGTTGATCAATAATTATGTATGTATTCTAAAAGCACACTCACATCCAACTATTCAATGGCAACCTCATTTGTTCATCAATGTCAAGATTTTTATTAAAATATTTCAAATCAAGTAATTGTTGCAGCAAGAATACCATCTTTGAATAGTTAAGAGGTGATTTTGAAGACATATTCATAAGGCCATATCTAGAAAGTTATAAGGCTTTCAAAAGAAATCAGTCAGCCACAACTTAATAAATGACTACAGACCCATCCCCCAAAATTATCATTCTAGCTATGGCCCTGACATTCAATGAGTGTGAAAGTGTTTTTATAGAATACAAGTGTTAATAGTGAAAACTTTGGCTTCTCTAACACATTCAGTTTGCAAAGTAGATTGTTCTTGGCAAAGATCGTTTAACACTCTAGTGTAGGTGGTGCATACAAAGCAATTGATTGATTAAAAGCACTCAAAACAAGTTGCTTTCAAAATTTGTTCAATAAAAATAAATGTACAAAACAAACTTTTGGTGAAGGATATATTGGGAGTGGGGGGCAATAAATATACACAGTGAGTGCAAACAACACTAACAAGTAACAACACAAGTGCTTCTGGTGTTGAATAGTATAGCGAAAAGAAAATTCTTCATGTGAAAAAGACATGCCTTTCGTAGTGGATCGTCAATGAAAACTTACTCGAACACCGTGCTGTCATTTTGGTCACCCCAGATAAGAATCTCTGCGATCGATCTCAATGTTTCAACCAACAATGAACGATTTTGATCTGTTACAACAGAATTCTTCGTCAAGATATAATGATGATATCTAAATCATTCGACAAAGAAATATATTAAGCCTTTAGAAAGGCAAAAACACGTTTTTCAAACAATCTAAATGGCGAGGTCAACACATTACTTTAACTGCTCTAGCGAGTGAGCTTTTAGGCTTCCAAATCACTTCCGTAAACCAATTTCTCTGTCTCTGAAGCATCACAAAGCCAGGCATCAACGTAAAACGTACTCATTCCATATCGTAACATTTACACAGCCTCAACTGAAAATGTTTAGAAAATCCAACTTCGTGTTTCGCATTTTTGCCATATATATTATGCTTTCGTCTTCCATCTGTGTACGAGCCTTCGTTCAACCCGCACGTTATGTTTCGCTTTACTTGACGTAAAACGAATATAAATATTCCGAGTTAAGCGTTTTTCGATTTTTTTAAATTTCTCGTTATTTAACTTTCTCAGTTAATGGTGGAGTAATTTTTTCGTAAAATAAAACAAAATGCTGTCACAAGTCGCTACTGCTTCACACAAGATTTTTTCTCACTTGCATTGAATTTTTCTCAATTTCTGTGTTCGCTCGCTGCAACCAACATTAGCACAAGTTCTTCAAATGGATTTTTAGATTGTTTATTAATATACCTCCATGATGACAAATCATTTCTTCCGCACATTTCTTTGATGACGATTCCATTAGGCATCATCTAAGTTGTTCTTTTTTTAAATAACAAAATATTTATTCCTTCTCTTCATCAATGCACTTTGCCCTTCTTATTACCAGTTAAATATACGTAATTAGGATAAAACAGAAAGAAATACTAAAAGTTATGTCCAATTCTACCATGCTCGTTATGAAATGCTTCATTAAATGAAAACCAAAATACGTAATCATAGCCATTAGTATAGATAAAGATAAAATTTAGTTAGAGTTATTGCTGGAGTCTTGTTATTAGAGTTGTTATTGAAGTTTTTCTATTTGATAAGACTGTTGGTAGATTGTTGTAAGCAAAACTTGAAGCCTGAAGTAGATCTACCCATGTCAAAGTAGGGGATGTGGCTGGCAACCCACTTTTGTTTTGTCACAAAACAAAGCTTTTTGCGATGTGTGTCTTCTAAACCCAGAGCATTTTTATGACAGCTCTCCGACGTAATTTATTTACGATTTAATGACACATATTTGTGTGTATTCAATAATTTATATGTTCTACCTAAAATAACGGGTGAACGTTTGCTTAACTGAATGAACCATTGGCAATATATTTTTCTAAAATTTCCAGTGTTTCCGACGGGCTTTTCACGGTATGACCTATGGTTCTTTTGTCCACGAATATTTCATAATCGTTTCCACCCTAAAAAATCATACATAGTATAATAAATCACTAACGGGAATGGGGAAGATTAAAATTTTTCTTCTCATAGTGATGGCTGAGATTTCACAATCATTTATTGGAAAAATTGAGTATGGTACTAGCTACATATTAAGTTTACATTATTGACTTTGATGTTTGTCATTACTGAAGATTTAATTATTTTCGCGACTATCATTTATGGAAATGAAAGCATATAATCGATTGTCGCATCGCCTTGAGCTTTTCGTTCAACTTTTGATTACAGTCGATCATCGCCACACTACTTTTTTAATGTCTAATTTTACTAGCAGGGAAATGTAATGTGGAAAACATTGTTGAAAATTATAGTCGATTTTCAAGTTTGCATTTATAAATTTCTTGCATTTAGAAAGACATGGACGAACATGTTTTTATAGAAAGGTGGGGAAGGTTACACTTTCATCCCTCTCAAAGAAAATAATAGCTTATGCACATTGTTATAACCTCCCAAGTTTTATCTCCAAAGAAATGTACTTCTTTGTATTCTTCATCGGCGAGATGATTCAAGCAGTACGTCTTATCCCAACCGATAGGAAAGACGTCAAAACTTATCTGGCCACCAATGGAAAACTTCAAGTTGAAATCAGCAAACTCTTTCTGCAGCAGGCTGACGAAGTCCTTTCGAATGTTATGAACCTATCAGAAAATCATACATAACAAATCGACTTTCAACATTAAATCACGACTAAGGAAGAAAGTTGTACTAGACTAAAAGAGAAATCTTAAAACTGGAGTTTCTACATTGGAAGTAGCAAAGCCAGCCCTTTTTTCACTGGTACAATGCAAATGTTTTTGTGTTTAATCACTGGAAAACTATGAATGGAAAACTATAAATTTTCTAAAGAAACGAACAATAACTTTGTTGAAAAATTAGCATTGTAGGAGAAAAAGATCGGGCTGGCTTTGCCACTGTGTATCAGATCACTTATGACGTAGATATTACACTGATGAAATATATAAAAACTCGCGTTTTAACATTAGATAATCAGACTCGAGTGCGTGAAGACTCCATATTCTACATTAGTTCACTTCTGATAAAAACATGCAATAAACTGAAATATTGGGAAAAACTCGGAATATTAATCAAGGATTGAACGTAATCTCAATTGAAAATTGATCAATAAATCTCCACCTAACATTCATCAGTTCAGCTCATCATACAAAGAAACGACCAAAAAGAACGTGAATGCAATAAATCACCACTGAATCACACCAGCTAGCCTATAATGTACCAATTACCCTGCGTGCATGCAAATCTTTCAACAAACCTTGTCATATTTTTCAAATTCAACACGTTCATCTTGCGAGCAGTTACGGCCGATCGGAGAGACATTAATTAAACCATTGCGGAATTCGATAAATGTCCCACTAGGAAAACAAAAGTTTCCAGAATTGAGAGATATAGGATCTTTTACATGAAGACAATAGGCAATGAAAGTGAAGTGTTCTTGAATGTTTTGTCAAAGTTTTTTTTTCAAGAAATGAGATTGATAGTTAATCTTGATATCCATGGTTGTGACGTGGCCGGCGCCATGAAAAGGTTGGCGCAATGAAATATAAACTTTTGATTATTGTCAGTTACAACTGCCTAAAGCACACAGCTTCCTAACAACTGTCTTTACTAACATCTTTAGCTAAAACATATCGTAATTTTAAACGCTATAGAATGAATCCTACCGTTTAACAGGGATGTTCAGTTCAGATATATACTTCAGACAGAAATTGATGAACTTCTGAAGTTTTTCTTCGCCGATATACGCTTTTATAGTCTGGTTTCAGCAAAAGAAAAATTATTGCAAAAAATAAAATCAGTTAAAGGGCAAACACAAACAGTACCGTCTCTTTCATCCAAGTCTCTGAAACACACAGCCCTCCCATACCTGGGCTGAAGATACCCTTACCTGTGAGGAGCAGAGTTGTCCACGTTTGTATGCTACCAAACCATTTTCAGTGAAGACATAGTCATAGTCTTTATAAACTGAAACAATGATCACCTCTATCATTATTTATTCATCAAAACTAGCATGTAGCACATACACATTGTACAATGAATTTATATGATACATTTATAAATTTCTGATACAAAATTTACCCAGCCATAAAAATGAAGAAATACCTTTCGTCTTTGCATTATTATTTATAAAGTTGAAACCCTTCCCCAGCAGTGGAGTCACCAGCTCAATGATTGGGGTCTGGGATAATATTCATGAAATGCATATTTTATTATAATAAACTACTTTGAAATCAATATTTTTTTAAATCATAACATGCATATATGAATACATCTCCCCCACATTTATTGAGATGTGTCTGGGTGTGTCTCAGTGCCACAGAACAGAAAAATGACAAGGTTTTATCATCTATATTATTACATCTGAAGAAGAATATTTTTCTCTCGGATGCCCCATGTAATATTAATCTGGAATAACAAACTTGAAAGAGATAGGAAATCATTCTCCAAATAACAATTTAAATTTATGACTAACTAGTGCAGGTAAAAAAAAGAGAAATGATCCAAAATTCTATCAACCCATTGGTAAAGTGAACATTAGTAAGTACTATATAAGTACTATACAAACTTTCCCCTCCACCAAGTTGCTCTTGTGCTTTAGCATAATCAGAACCACCAACCAGTCCAACATCAACTGTACCACGAAGTTTTGCTAAAAAATTTTTCATCTCCAAAGTAATCACCTAAAGAGACATCATGGTAAAACACATAAACAATATGATTTAACATTCTCCACTTTCCATCTCAACAAAATCATCTGACTTACAAGATATAAACATACTACCAACACTAATATCATTATATTGGTTCAATTGCACTGGAAATTATCCATTTAGTAATGATTAAGAAAATACAAGGTGCAAAATTCAACATCCATTTTTATAAAGTATCTGCTGTTTGAAATTTTCTGTTATTTTGAGGTATATGAAGTACTTTATAGTAATCAAAATAGTAATTGTACTATATGCAAATATCCATTGTTAACCACAACAGCAATGCCAGCTCAAAATTGGATTTATTTTGATGCATTAGTATTCTCAACTTTCTTTGGTATAAAATAAAGGGCAGGGTTGACCAGACTTGGTATTTTTATTACCAGATCTGATCTGGTGGACTTACTTAAGTGGCTCCACCCTGATTAAATAATTGTAACGCTGAGAAGGGGGCATTCTGCCAAATTATCCATGTTTGGTCCCACTGATCACTGACGAAGGGCTTAGGCAGTCATAAGACTCAAGCCAGTGTGAAAGTAGGTATGTTTGTAGTTCATTAAGAGTTGTATGAACGAAACCCCTCGTCGAACATTGGCACAAAAATGAACGAGAAGCCCAAGCAAAATAAAGAAGTCTGAAAACATAACTTACAAATACAGACAATAAGCACAATGACTAAAACTGAAGAGCAACAACTGCTACCTTTCGAGGAAGAGTTAAAGTCCCATCAATATCAAACAGAAATAAAATATCATTTCTTCTCAGAGACATTCTTCAATCAAAATAACAACTTCACTCAAGATGAAACAAACGAAAAGTTCGTTTGTCAAGTGCCACGTTTACATATTTCATTAACAATTGCTTCCGGTAGTTCATCTGAGTCTGAGCGAAACCATCGAAGAGAATACACAGAAGGGCAACTCGCGAGTGAAACGGTTAGCACTATTTTCCACCCAGCAAACCGCCCTTTACTTTACACAATCGGAAATAAATTAAAGATGGCGGCTAATGGGAAAGAACCAAAAGCTAAAAGGAAACCATGCATGCACTGGTGTTAGGTCGTTTTGAGATGGCGAGTAATTTTATATTTTTATAATACAGTTTTTAATATCAACATATGAAAATATTTACAGATAAATGTTGCAGTATAAATTTTCATGCAACCACCTTAAGTTATAAACTTATAATCCAGGCTGGAAAATATGTCGTTTTTCGACGATTGTGTAAAATATTATATAAATATTATATTGTGTAAAATATTATATTGTGTAAAATATTATATTGTGTAAAATATTATATTTCAAAATAAAGGGCGGTTTGCTGGGTGGAAAATAGTGCTAACCGAGTGAAACGCGTGGCAATTTTTTTGTGCGCATGCGTTAGGTCCGCCATTCACTTTGGCCAGTTTGCGGTTTCGGAATAATAGTCGCCTCGTACGTAAAACATTTAGGAAGATCATGAAAGATTGCGACAAAACGTGATAAAAACAAGGTGAGAGATCATTATTTCATTGCTAACAAGTACGTAAAGGCTTTTTATTGGTAAAAATTAACCGCTTCAATGTAGCTATAGTTGTAAATATGGTTATATGTATGAAAGTATGAAATAGAATCACTTGCGTTTTCGTCAATTCTAAATTATTATTATCGAATTGTTTGAAGTGTAGTTATAAAGGTATAATTCCGAAAATGACGTTCACACTTAATTGTCGAACGCTGCAATATTTCACATTGCAACATGGTGAGTGGCGTAGCTAGCGAAAAACATTTGGTCGGGCTCACGAGGCGCCACCATGGTTGGCGCCGAGCGAGAAAATTTTCCGAATTTAGACTCCCCTAGAACGTCGGAAACGGCTATCTTAGAAAGCAAATGCGTGATATTTATGCAGGAAATAGAACCATTTTGGTTAATTTAAATTGCCGAAGGATCTTATAGTAAAGCAGAGAACAGTTCAAAAATAGTTGCAGATATGTGATTTATTTTCTCAACACCACATACATAAATAGATACCTATGTACATCTTGTAAAGAAACTTTGACAAAAGAGCCGAAATAGGCTCAGATTTGTCATCAACAACTATCAAAAGTTGTGATGCCGTTCATTGTCGTGCTGAAATGACAATCATCATTGCCTGCATTAAAAAGTTCCCGGAAAAATTCTCACATGCCATGGATGTAAGACATCATCAGCTTGCTATTAGCCATATAAGAATACCTATTTGTATAAGAAAGCAAGCCTTCGTGGTTTTTCAATGAACTTCTTTACTTCCTCATCATGCAATGTGTTGGCGTCTTCTTTCTCTGACAGTATGTCTTTGTGAATGGAAATCCTGCAAAGAGAACTAAAACGTCCTTGGCTCATAGTATTTCTAAGATAATTTTTTTACCCTCTTCAAACAAGAAAATGACCTCTCAACTGAAGCACTTGTAATTGACAAAACCCCATTTATCTTTAACAGTTTTACAACTTCTGGAATACTAGATTGAAGATGGAACTGAAAAATATATTTCAATAGTTCATCGCATGAATCACGGTGAAAGTCTTTATCTCTGTAAATAAAACAAAGTTTGCTAACTAGCATTGGTATGTCAAACATATCACCATAAACCTCCTTTAGAAGATTTATCTTTTCTGAGGGCACTTCACCTTTCCACATCTTAAACACCCTAGGGTTAACAAGGTCTAAAAATCTAAAACGCTCCATATCCTGAAATTGCTCAGTCAGCATAGTCACAATTGTGTCAAGAATTTCAAAATACATTTGTTTGTAATTATGCCGTTGGTCATACCTGGTTACTGGTGGTCCCACTTTCTCAACAAGCCAGGTTGTACACCTGACAATATTCTGTATCATTTCTCAGAGAAGCAAAAAGGCCTTGAATCTCTCAACCCTACTCACTCCATAATGAAAGTCAGTGTCCTTGTCTTGCAAGATAGAATAAAGTATGGATGACTGCTCAAGAATTCTCTGGAAAACAAGTACCAAGAAACAAAACAAGAAGCCATTAAGGTAGCCAAGTAAACCAGTAACCTTACTTTACGTTTCATCATCCCAACCTATTGGATTATCAGTAAGATTTTCAAATATGTCTATCAGTTTCTCATAGTTAAAATGCAAGACATTGATGTCATGAGCCCTATAATACCATCTTGTGTCACCAGGACTAGGAAACTCAAGCCTATGGGATGATAGTAAAGCTTTTCTTTTGGGGGAATTGCTAGTAAAGGTGCAGAAAGCACTAATATTAACAAAGAAAATCTCAACAGGTGAAATGGAGGATGCAGCTTGACATAATACTAGATTTAGTCTATGGGCAGCACAGTGAACAAATTGAGCATAAGGATAATCCTGCTGAACCTGAGTTCGAACACCATTGAGATGCCCAGACATAACAGATGCACCATCATCTGTCCAATAAATTTCTCTTTCACATTATTATATTGACTTAACTTACCCTTAACCACTGATGATATAGCAGTTGCAGTCCTATCACAACTAACATCAACAAACCCAAGCTGTCTTTCAATGACACTTTCCCCTTTGTCCATTCGAACAATTACACTCAATTGTTCTTTGGTAGAAACATCAGTTGCCTCATCAACCTGTATACTTAAGAAAGTGCAGCGATCTATTTCCTTTAAAATCTCATCCTCTATTATTTTATCATGACAATCAATCAAATCATTCTGAATATCAGGAGAGACTCCAGTAAACCGCCCTCCCCCAGCAAGGTGGGTTTCAGCAAGCCTGCCATGTAATCGCCTTTCAAAAACAGAATCCATCTTGGCAAAACTTTCAAGTAGCTCTCTATAAATTCCTCTATTCATGCTGCCACTAGATTCATCATGCCCCCTAAAGCCGTCTGCGTCCATGAAGATGACGATCCAGTGCAAAACAAAAGACAAGGCCAACAGAACAATGCATTCTTTTCTGAGCTACCACAAAGCCAATCTTTCTTCGAGTATCAACTTTCCTGAAAGCTTCTATTGCCTGTAGTCGCTTGTAAATTTGGAATTGGCCGCTGCTTTACGAGTATATTTTGCTCGCCTGATTGTCGAACAGAAAATGGTTTCTTTTGTAATTCACTTATTATATCAATTTCATTAGCCGAAGCCATTGTAATGTAAGTTATCACGATTTCCGAACGTATAATTCGAAAGCTCAAAATACAAGTAACGCTTTTGAAAATGAGCCCGACTAGATGTTGTTAAACGTTTGAGTGTGTTCACAGCTACTCTCAACCAATCAGATTACAGATACTCCCACTATAGATTTTACTACTTGGTCGGGCTGAATTTTCAGAGCCCGACTAGATGTTGCGAAACAGCGCATTTGAGTTTGCTCGGTTGCTGTCAACCAATCAGATTGCAGATAATCCCACTATAGATTTTACTACTTGGTCGGGCTGAATTTTCAGAGCCCGACTAAACTGCGTAATGCCTGGCACTAGAAATGACTGTGGATTATTCCAAAAAGAGTCGCAGAATTTAAAATTTTCGCAAATCCAATTTTAAAGAAACAAATTTTTCATTTTTGGGAAAATATTTGGTAGGGCTGGGCCCTACCAGCCAGACCATAGCTACGCCACTGAACATGGTACTGCCAAACTTACTATGTAAAGTAATATTAACCAAGCAATTCAATAATCATTCGTGATGCTTGTTTATGAATGATAACTAATAATAGTCTAATAGACCTTTAGTTTTTAGCAACATTCAATTCAAAGCAAGGGAGAGTTTGTTTTATCACTTAAGCATGAGTGAATAGTTCAATATGTCAGGCATTTTTGATATCAAAGATTATTTTTTGAGGTATACATTTTTTACCAATATTAATTATTATAACATTGTTTCAAAGCAATTTGTGCTCTGTTTTGATTTTTGATTTTTTTTCTAGTTGCTAGCCAAGTGATTGCTTGATTCTAAAGTTAGGATTGTGTTGCAAGTGACTTGTACTGTGTATTATTTCATCCAAAGACCAACAGTGCTGGTATTTTTAACAATGAAGTTATTTAATTTTTAAATAAAATGTATAGACTGGTATTATGTATTCTATATTCTGTAAATTCTACTGCATAATATACTCACATTTTAAATTCAAACTGTTTTGTGATTGTTAAAGCTTTTATACACAGTATTGATCATCAAGGGCAAAGACCTGTTTTTGGACCTGTAATCAGTGTAAAATGAATATAGTAAAGTAAAATTTTTATTTTTTTAATATATTTTTACAACTCAGAATGCCATGATAGAATAAGTTTCAAAATGTTTTTCAATTATGAAAACCTTTTCTAATCACTAATGCCCCCCAAAAATTGGGAATAAAGCAAGTTGTGGATGTTTCACCTTTTCATCTGGAAACTATGCCATTGACCTAGACTTCATGCTGCCTGAGTATTCTATAAATGCTGCAAGAAAAAGTGAACCAAAAGAAAGCGGTTCAAGTCATTCCATCTCTACAACAGCATGCCGTAGCAATAAATTGATCCTTACTGACTACGTGAAGCTAAACAGTTGCAGCTAATATCATGATAGACAATATGCGTCAGGTTTTCTTCTCGTGAAGTGTTTCAAACTCCGCATTAGTCTTAAATGCACTAATGCTCTTTCATAGGACTGAATTAGATGATAACAGGCTGTCATTCTGACACTTCAAAGCATTTGTACAAAGCAAATCAGCCATTCCGTATCTTTTACTTGTCTGCAGTACATTATAAGACTTAAAGACGTATTTAATGAGAAATTGACAGTCCAAACAAAAAGCGCAGTTGTCGGTGAAAATATTTTAGACACCATGAAGTCCATATAGCACTAATACCAGTACGCCGTAGCATCCGAAAATGCTAAAAAATTGTTTGTAAGAATGCGCATTTATTACGCCATTCTTTTGCCAATCGCAATTGTGCAATAGCTTATAATCAAAATGCAAAACAAAGCCAATAAGTACGGTGGCCCACAAGTGTCACGGCAAAAGTTTCTTCTTGCAGTGAAACTATTTTACCAACTACAAATCTTTCATCTTTTACGGCAAAACTTTTATATCTCACGGCAAAACTTTGTTTCTTTCGCGTCAATTCCACTAATGTGAATTTAGCACCAAAATCAGGCCACAATTGGAAATTTGAGATTATATGAAAACACAGAAATGAGATATAACATGAGTTGATTTTCCTAGGACACTTTCTCTTGCTTTTACGTCGATTTAATCGATAAAGATAGTTGTAATAAGCTTTATCACAATACATTCACGGTCCAAACGCCAACTGAGTCAGGGTGCATTCCATGTCCACGCTGCGCCGAATGTGCGGCAAGGAAATTACTTGCCTATGCCAACATCAATATTGCCCATTTCATTTGGGGCTGACTTGGCCATGCCGGTCGCCGTGTACACTGTACAGCGGTGCTGGGACAGATTCATGTAAGCTATTTTGAAAATTTCGTCCCTGATATAATAAACAATGTTTTAAAATAGAACAGAAAATCAGTATTTATAACTGCACCTTATATTTAAAAAAAAAATTCTTGGCTTTTACATGTCATTTTTTGATAATTTGTAATAATACTCAATGTTCGCTGATTAGTTGCAACATGGAGTAACGAATACTTAAATACATTTTAAACTATGATTTTGCTCTATTGTACAACTAGAGTATAACTAGAGTTGAATGCATCAATGCAATTTCAAACTAAACTGTGAAATTTTGTAACAAAACCGTGAAGAAAAGAAAACTAAACTGTGATCCTTCTGGGCCATTCGGGTTATCAAGTGAAAAAAGAGAAAACCATGATTTCTTTTCAGTTTTCAAATTTTCTTTGCGTTAAGAACGGACAGTGTCCACGTTCAGCATTAACGCGGTCTACGACTTTCGACACGGCGTATAGTTTTGCACATTACAAGAAATATGGGCTGATGCAATGAGGTCTTAAGTTATCGTCGCCTTGAAAGTATAATGCAAATGCTTCCCTAATTACGTCTTCACAGTGTTGTAGTGAAGGCAAGAAACTTTCGTTCTACGTACAAGTGTTTCGTTCAATTGATCACCTACTTGCTGCTGATACCGCATAGCACTGTAGAAACTTTTGGCTATCGCCTCAGGGCCACCTTTTGCTAATACGATGTCTAGAAGCGCACAGGAGGGTGGCTTTGCAATGTCATACAGTTCTTGGTTTGAATAAAATGATTTGAATACCTTCTTTTCGCAAAGTTGTACTTTACGAAGTGTCCCATCCGAGAAACGCATAAGAAAAAGGCTGTCAAGCTAAGTCAAGTTTAAGTCATGAATTTCTACCAATGAAAGACAATCAACAAAATTTTAGTGTTTTTGCATTTACTGCTTCAAACCATTCAGGGCAATATTCTGTTTCACACTCCTTCCTTTATGGCTTTCTTAATCAAACCTATGTATAGATGTGCCATGCGAGGATCAAAGTTGATTCTAGAAGCTTTAACATGGGCCTTTCTAAAGCTACATTCATTATCTTTTTACATTCATTCAAACCATACTGTTCTATCTCGCCTTCAGAGAGGAAAAATACGATTTTTTCTCGAAAATACGGTTTATTCGCATAATAAACTCACAAGGCAGGCTGCGTCAAATATTTCAAGCGTTGACATTGCATCGTTACTTGTAATAGAGCTGATTCTTTTTTCTAAGGAATTTGTGAACTCTTCTACAAATCTTTCTCGAGCGTTCTTAATTTCAGTTTCATCTCTTTGTTGCCAGTTAAATCAACGATCGCCAGATGCTTTCTCGTTATCTTGCACGACCAGCCACCCTTCAAGAAGCGTAACCCTTTGAATACACAACCCGCCTGAAGATTTGCCTATCTTTTTAATCGTGGGAAAGCATCTTCTCTATTTGCTGCATTTCTAAGCTTTTCTTTTGGCTTTTTTCGCCAAAATTAAGGGTCAGCTGCCACCTATTCTTGTGACGCTGGATGCTTGTTTTATTCACACGGCAAATTTTGGAAAAATTTTCCTCCAATTTTCCCCTGAGATGAAGCTCTAAGCATTCTAAACACACATATTTTACCTTGTTCTTTTTATCCGTTTCATCAACTCGTTTCATCACGGAATGCATCCTGGCAGTGAACTGACGAATGCCGTCTTGTGCCGTGTTTTTTTGATTAAAATTGTTGTTTAAGTAAGAAAAGTGAAGGTTTTTCCAATGTGAATTTTGTACTTATTAATGTATATGCATTTCATAAAACACCAAAGCATACCTTTCAATCGAAAACGTTATGGATGTATTTCATTATCGGGATTGTTTTTACTGGTTGTATTTTGTATTGAATCAGAAACCAGGAGGGAGTGAATGATAAAAATAAGTTTTCAAGTGGAAGTTTTTCACCCAAAATTTCCTTTTGGCATCCATGTTTTTAACAACAGTTCCCAGGCCCCTTTTTCCCCTCCAGGTAATTTAATAGAACTGAATGATTCGAACACGGTCATCGACCAACCAGAGCACGCCTTATACACATTTTATTTTATAAAGTTGTTTACTATTTTAGTCATTTCATTTGATTCCCATAACTAATTTTGCAACTTCAACATACAAATCATAAAATTGGATTGAGTTATCAAGTTAAAGGAAAAATTTTCTAACTAATGGTTTCACTGCCAATCAACGATTCGTTGACATTCGCTTCTAACGTGAACATGAACTGCAACATGCCTCTCTAGATGTTGTATTTTCTTTGTTCTCTTTTCCATACAATAACCGTTCCCTTAAAAACGTTAAATAACTTTTTATGTTGTAGTAATGATCAAGGTTAGTGACGTAGCGGCGTAGCTAGAATTGGAGTTTTCAGTTATGGTCCTGCGATAAAAAATTCACATCATTTTCATGGTAAAACAACGATTTAGTTGTGTTAACAAACTTAAATACTGAATTGCACAACGTGTTGTCTTAGGTAAATTTCAGTCAGGTTGCTAGTTCTAAAAAGAACTAATGAAACCAAAAATTAAGATATAAAATCAAATCATACGAACACAACGCATTTCGGCAGACATCTCATCAGCTATAAAAGTCACCTCCCTGTTTGGGGATGTCATCATTCTATCTAGTCTTCATCATACACAAAAATGGTTTTTATTTCAAAGCAGACGCAGCTTTTGATATGCAGTCTGTTGAAAAGCATTGTGTGATTTAATTTGTATTTTAATTTTGGTTTTCAGCAGCTCTATTACCTAGTTGTCACTTACCATGACAAAAAACTATTCAAAGCTATTGTCATTATAATTATTCATTTCTTTAAAATCTGTTGTTTTCGTATGGAGTTAACACAGAAAAAATAAATAACAAAACAAAATTTGTGTTTTGGCTACGCGAGAGATCAAGAGTCAGTTCCCAGAATGTGATGTGCCCATTTAGTTCTATAAGTTCTTAAGGCTTGAGGTAGTAAGGAGAATTCAAAAGAGTTTTACAAGGAAACAATCAAAACTCAATATTTCTTCTTCGATTGACGTCAGTAAATAGAATTTTTGCAAATAAGACCAAAAAGTCCTCGCCTTCTCACATTACATGCAATTAACTTCATCACAGTGCTTTAAAATACTCAAGAAAAATTTGTGCAATTTGCAATCGTGCGAGCACAATTGAGCAATGTTGGGTCCAACAGCCATAACACATCCACCACAATCCACAAATGGCATACAGTACCTCAGTATCACATGACGCCAGTAAGCTTTCGTCGTAATTCCAGCAAACATCTAGGACTGGGGCAGAGTGCCCTAGAAGCTTGTTCACACATGACTTCTCTTCTTTTTCAACGTCAAAAAAGTACACAGCCATATCTTCACTACCTGTGACTATAAAGGTGTTTGAGGACACGTTAAAGTTCATACATTCATATTTATGTGAAGAACAAACTTTTCTAAATCAGACATGTTTCGGCATACCTATGCCATCATCAATGCGAATATGTAAATTGCTCTTTCGTTTTACGAATCAATTGACTTTCATATGTTAATTACAAGTAAATATTTTTAACACTGTACTCATCTAATTTATCTGTAAATAACTTATCACTATTTAAATAAATTAAGTATCACATGTTTTAACAAAAGAATGCCGAAAACATGTCCGTATTAAAAAGTTCTAAGTTGAAGAATTTTCATTTCAAAGCACCAAAGTTCTCGGTAGCATATTAGTTTGATTTGTTCTCAATTCTAGACATTTTATCAACAAAATCACATCACACCTATACAACGTCGACGTATCATAAACCAACCTACATGGGACTATTGACGAACTACTTCAATTTCACACCACTTTTATACAAGACTGGATTAATACGTACACTTATAGACAGAACATACAAAATTAACAACAACGACAATGGCTTTCAACAAGAACAAAAAACATCACATCTATTTTATTACGCAACTCTTTCCCACTACACTTCATCGACAAAACTGTCAAACGATATCTCCATGACAAAACTAATATTAACTGCAAAGCAAACACCAAAACATCCGATATAGTAACCACGACCAACAACAATTAACAGTCCATAAAAACTCTTTACTTTGAACTACAGTACATCAGACATCATTCACGACTCACACAGCGCAGACTTACAAACATCATCAAACGATTCTGCACTGACATTAACATCCGACTAATTTTCACTTCCTTCAAAATGAAAAACTACATCCCATTCAAAGATTCTATCCCTGATTCTATTAAATCTATGGTGGTATACCAATTCGATTGTGCGGGATGTAATTCCCGATACATTGGCGAAACTTCCCGTCACTTATCCACCAGAATCAGGAAACACACCACAAAAACTCATATATTATTCGACACCTTTTAAAATTTACTTCATGCAAAACTAACTATTCATCCTCTTGCTTTAAAATAATCGACACTACAGATACTGCATTCGCACTCAAAATCAAAGACGCACTTCACATTAACAAAACTAACCCTAATCTCAACGTTCAAGTTTTTCGTTTTAACTCTATATTCAGCTTGTAAATACTTTCATCGTTAATTCTAACCACTATTTCATTGTAATATAATAATCTATTCATTAGTGTATAAATTGTATCACAGTATTATATTACTCTTATATATATTCATCACCTACGTAATACTCCTTATAATACTGAAAATGGCATCATGACATGGTGAAACATGTTTATTTAAAAAAAACTTCTCGTTTTTATTAAATGCGAAATAAAAAATACAAGTGACTGAAATTGCAATATTTAAACATTTCAAAGCACTTTTTGAGGGAAATCTTTTTAAATATCAGGTTTATGTAAAACAACAACACTTTCAACAACATATGCAAGTTTCGGCTCAAAATAATTTAGATCAGCAGATAAATTTCTTACCCACCGACGCATGCTCCTTGTCTAAATGACATGAGAGGACAAAATGAGCTTCGAATACCCAGACGCTCGTGGCGAACTTGAAATGATCTTTTCAAACTCAATGCACCCTCTTCGTTTGTCACTCTAAAAATATTCAACTGATAAAATCTATTGAGGCAGAATTTTGACATTTACTCCGTGCAATACTGAAGAGTATCACACCAAATTTTGCAACATGCAGTGATGCAGTTTTCAGATTGCAAACCAATTAATGATCACTTCCAAAGTAGAAGTGTGTTATTCTACTTCTATCTAAAGATATTTAACTTAGCTCCATCACGCATAAATCATGATTATGGCATAACATTGCTAAATCAGCTTTAGGAAGTAGTGGTTTTCGTCGATAGTTAGTCGTATATATCTAAATTTGCCATCTTTGCACTTTTTATCTACACATGTGTTCATGAAAATGATGTATTAGGAACAAAATTTTTAAAAATGCAAAAAATGGATGGTTTTTAAAATATTACTATGTGCAATGTGATGTAATAACAATATTCGTTGCGGAATTAAATATCCACATGGGGAAGAGCGCAAACACAATTCTCTATTGAAAAGCTACACTATGTCGTTCCAAATTTTCTTAGCCATGTGCGAAGCAAGAGGATGGAGAGTCACCATGCAACATAAGAAAGCTGAGATTGAGATTGGTAAGAGAAAAATCAACGGACAAAATATTTATTCTAGTGAAAGTACATACAAAACACAAACTTTTGTAACATTCCTTTAAATATTCCATACATATAATGAAACATGAGCACCAACCTATACAAGCAAAGATTATTGTCGGCTACATTTATGAGGAGCGACGGATCCCTTGCTTCACGGTTAATCCAGCTTCGATAAGATATAGACGTAATACAGCATCCATAGGCGACTACGATCCTAAAAGATGAAAATATGTTACTGAGTATTGTCTGCTCACTGCTATATAGTAGAAAAGTGGGGCATCAGTCGGTTACATCATAATGCTGGTCTCTTGCCAATGACATTTAAATTCGTGAATATAAAAAACATGGTACTAAAAACAGTATATACTTACTAATAATATATACCACTGCCATATATAGACCTGTATACATACAATGTCACTGCTATATATAGACTGTCAATTTCACTGTCATATATAGACATATACTCAAATATGCTTGCCAAGTATGCCATTTAATTTTCCGACTTTTAGATAGAAAAAATAAAAAAACCTGAGTTAGGAATAATTGTACTGTTATTAAGCTATGAAAAACCCTTCGACTACGTAAATATTTCATGACTGAAGGCAAAATTTGAAGCGACGAATGCAACTAGTCTCAATTATTTCCACACATGGCCAGAAAAAAAGTGTATTACGTCAGTGCACAAAATACAGGACTTTACCCCAAGTGCACGAGTCCGAAGGACGAGTGCAATTTGAAGTCTTTGAAAAACTCACGAGTGCATGTTTTCCAAATTGCACGAGAAACCATGCTATTACCTTTACAAATAGTATGCTTCAGTGCAATTTCCATGCAGAGATTGGGAGTGGGCATTTAACCGATATTGGAAAGTGATTTTGTTTGGATGTACGGTGGCTCACAAGGGCCACCACACAAAATAAAAATATTAATACACACACAAAATAAAAATACACACACAAAATACATTATACACACACAAAATAAAAATACACACACAAAATAAAATACACACACAAAATACATTATACACACACAAAATAAAAATACACACACAAAATATGATTGCGGGCACTTGCAGTGTCGGATTGTCGGACTATCATATTATCAGTTTGTAATTGTTGTAAATTGTCATGTTATGTTTTGTAGTGTGTGAATATACAGTATGATAAATTGTAAAATGTTTGTCATATATTACTAGACAAATTGGAAAATACGTATATAGTTATTAAACTGTGGTTTCAGTGGAAATCCTGTACGTAAATTCAAAATACTTAGGAGCACTTTTTCTACCCAATGTGGCATTACGTACAGGATTTCCACTTAAACCACAGTTTAATAACTATATACGTATTTTCCTATTTGTCTAGTAATATATGACAAACATTTTACAATTTATCATACGGTATATTCACACACAACACAACATGACAATTACAAACTGATAATATGATAGTCCGACAATCCGAAACTGTATAATGTGTATAATGTATGTATTTTATTTTGTGTGTGTATAATGTATTTTGTGTGTGTATTTTTATTTTGTGTGTGTATAATGTATTTTGTGTGTGTATTTATATTTTGTGTGTGTATTAATATTTTTATTTTGTGTGGTGGCCCTTGTGAGCCACCGTATGGATGAGATGAAATGTCATGTAAAATGTTGCAATTTACTGTCATAATTTCCTTTTCTAAAACATTGTAAAAACCATCTGTCATTGTATCTTTAGTTTGGTACAGTCAATTGTTATAAGAGTATAGTTCTTACCTCTTGCCCTTCTGTAATCGTCCAGTAGCAATATCAAAGCAAAACGACAAGATACATCCCTGTAAAACAGTGAGGTACATGTAAGCTTAAAGCCCGCCGCACACTGGTGAACTTGCCGCACGTACTTGTTATTCGTGACAAGTGTGATCGACAAAATTTCCTAGTGTGCGCGGAAGTTTTGAATAACATTTGTCATTCGTGACAGATGAGTCCAATATCAAACGCGTATGCGGCGGGCTTTAAGCGATGTGAAGACATGTCATTTGAAGTGATGCTGATGTTATCAACACAATGCTATAGTAAAATAAGTGAGTATACGTACTGCATGATATTCAGCATTATTTACAATTATAAAATAAAAAACGCGTAATTAATCAAAGAGAATTTCAAATTCTGAATACATGCCAGAGAAAAAGTTGAAACATCTGTTTTTAATTTATCTGTTTTGCATTATTGTTATGTTATAAAAGAAAGAAAAGATGTTTTTGGCGTTTGCACTCGCTTATAAAAACCTCGGAGATATTAGTGAGAGCTCTCGACGTTCAGTCTCGAGCTTGGACTGATCTGCTCTCGAGTTCTTCCAAAGGTCCTCTCCACTTGCAAAAGCCTGCACAGTAAACATCTTTTATTTCTTAAATGATAGAATTATGAGAATTATAGCATGAATATTTTAGTATATCAAAGCTAGAGGTTGACAAAATAATCTACCAAGAATTAAATTTTTTGAACATATCATTGTATGTAATATAAATAAACGGATGAAAACAATGTTTATGTAATAATCACATTTATTTTTTACTTATGTATGCGAAACGATATTTTTGGTGCAATCTGATTTGCTGCAGTAGCGGGCAGCTTTTTAGGATATCTTGACCGTGGTTCAAAAGTGAAATTGAAATTTATAAAACTTATTTAAAAGCCATTTAAATTGTTCACGGAGATAGAAAAATGTATTCATACGGTAGTTATCAAAGATATTTGGTACAAAACAATGCAATTTCAGTACAAACAAGTCGGCCATTTAACAACGCGAATTTCTTCGTTAGGAAGAATTAAAAAATAAATGTTATTTACCGTTAGGTCGGTCCCACCCATTAGCTCACACACACTTTTTAGATATCATAAAGATATTTTTTCCGTACGGACATTCAGCAGGTAAATAACATATATGTCTTTGAGCCCGGGAGTATCGTTACATGTTTGTAGAAACATGTATTTCTTTGATAGATACAAGCATTTGCAATCATGGTGGATAGAAATGAAACAATTGTACACTATCTTGACAACAATGAATCCCAAACGCACCTTTTCGTCACCAATCCACAATATGGTTCCCGTGGATTCGAAAGCCAACGACAACACAGCGCCTGTTGTGCGACAAGTTCCACCCTAACAAAACAAGATAAAGTTTTAAAGGAATGGTATCAATACTTACCCTCAAATACTTCGTTGCATACGCTAGAATGCGGTAAAGATTGTAGATATCGACTACACGTCATAAATACTCCCTATCTTTAAACTGTACCTTCACATTCTTTCCAGTTGAAGTATTGTATACTTGAACATGTGCTTTGTCGTTACCAGTCTGATATTCGCAGTTAAGAAACACATAAAACTCAATTTTCTAGGCGTACATAAAACGGTTTTGCATTGTAGTTGCGCAATGCTTATATGTCCTTACAGTTCACCTTTACAGCACTCTTGTGCTTACTAATGCACTTATGGGTCCATTCTCATTTAAGAGTTAGGCGTGCACCACGAGAAAATAGGGAAGGAAGGTGGCAATTTTTTTGAGCATGAAATTTTTTTCTGGCGACAAATTTATGCAAGATATTTTTTTCGCCAATTTGATCCTGCACGATTTTTTGTCTCATTCTGTTCTATGGCTATCCAAAATGGCATGCATTGCTTATCTTGATTTGTATTCAGTACTCATCAAATATGAAAAAAGTGTGTCTTCACTAGCAGTTCAATTGTGAACAAATAAAAGATTTATGACGAACTGGAATTTGTCATAAAATATTGATAGCCATGAAACTTACTTAAAAAAAGTGAAATTTTGTTGAGGCCTTTTCATATAAAAGTTCCCCTGGCAACAAAGAAAAAGACAAGAAGCCTATGAAATACTGGTTTTTGATAATCGTCAGTCAAACCGTCATCTCTTGCAAACAGAAATAAGTTAGTGAAGGAGAGGTAAACGAGAACTTTCAAAAAGAATACGACAATCATGTTGTTATTCAATGGTTGAAATCGACAAGAAAGAACAGGACAAAGATAAGCATCGCTGAAAACACGAAGACATTGACCTGAACTTGGACTCCACAGTCGTGACGTGCCATCTATTGAGGCAGAAACAATGAAGTCATTTGCCACGGACCAATCAAAATCTAAACAGCAAAACAATGTTTCCCATTAGAAATCTGAAAATAGTTTTACGTAAGTGTGGCGGCACATCTGAACAGACCTTGGTGGAACTTTCATCCGTTTAAATACCTTTTTATGGCAGCTTTGTGTCCGCGAAGAAAACAAGTGACAGACGGAGGAGTCGGAAGAAGGTCGCAAATCGATAAAGTGCCGTCGGATGAACTGCAGGCAAGTTTATGTTTTTCGTCGTGCGCAAATTTAATGGAAGTGACTAAAATGTACGGCAATAAAGAATCCGAAAAAGATAATTCAAGTAAAATTACTATTTTGAAAAACAATTGACTCGGGTTTCAACATGTAATCGCTACTTATAACGATCATCCCCAGTGCAGATACTAGCAAAAAAAACATTAATTAAGCACTTAGAAATCGATACCAGATCTAGAAACTCTCTGAAGTACAAAAGAATTAAAATTTCAACATCAGATCACTCCTTATAAAAACACTAGCCTAGAGAATAAAAGGACTCAGGTTTCAACATCAGATCACTCCTGATGAATACTAGACTACAATGGATAAGGACTCAAGATTTAACAACAAATCTCTCCTGATGAAGACGCAAGATGTAGTGTAAGAGGACACAAGCTTCGACCTCCAATCATTATTAATGAGGACTGGTACAAAAATATCGGATCACAAAAAAGGAGGACATCCAAAAACTAGAAATACCCTTTTCACACCTGCTTCAGCATGCTGATCGAACACGTGATGCATGCCTGCAAATGCGTAGTTTTCACCAAGACTTTTATCACCAGCCATTTTTCTAAAACAGAGAAACCGTCATTTTAATTACTCGATTTGCAAGAAGCGATGAATTTCATTTAAGGGACAGAATGAAATAAAAAATTGTTTGTAAAACATCTTGCGATATTTTTCCGACAAAATGACGAACACACAAAACGTTATATGTGGTCATTACTCATATGTCCAGCTATACCCGAGGACAGCTATACACTCAGAGCCTCGGACGGATACTTTTTCTGTGTAGCATATTGGTGCCCACTGCACATGCGCAGCGGCTACCCAAAAATGCTTTTGCATTTGTTACGTTGCTCTACAAATGCATAAAATAGCCTTTAGCTACGAAATGTCAGTTTTTTATAAATTTCACTTGGAAAGGTTATTTACGAACCCTTGCCACATGGCTCATGCTTTATAAGCCGTATTGATTTTAATGGCTTCCCCAGCGTAAAATCCTTAAAATATTTTTGCTCTATAAGCGTATTCAAATAAAAACCTCAGGTTTTCAAACTATGATACCTTTGTGAAGAATCAAGTCATGAAATCACCTGCTAGCCTCGGCCTTCTTCGTGGGAACGACACCATGTAGCGGCAAATCCTCGTGCATCGTCATGGTAACATTAGGAGGAAGGAACTGAAAAGAGCCATTGCTTTGATAGCGACGGTGTGTCTTCACTGGTGTACCATGATCATTGCCTTGTACGGACTCAAAACTTTGCTATTACCAAAATCAATAAATTTTTAAAACAATTCAAACACATTAAATAAAGGGTTTAGTCAAATGACCTAAGCCATACAATTAGTTTGCCGTCCTATCGTACTAAATCGCCATTGGCGAGTAATCTATATCTTCTATCGGTAATCCTGTTTCTTGAACATAAATAGTAAGAGAACAAGCGTAAAGTTGGATAGCAAAGTGTACCGCGGACATGTAAAATATTTTACATACTACCGTTTGCGTTCAAGGATTGAGTGCTAAAAATTTTTTACGATGTTTCCGTGTCTGAAACGTTACGTTTCCTTGTCGTTTACTGCATGTCTTAGGCATGAAATGCTCACCTGTTAAAGAAAACATGTCAACATTTGACAAGCGCATTAAACAAGTTTTCCTTGAAGAAACAACATTTTTCCACGTTTGCGTAGCACGTCGATCTTCTACTTTTACATTTTGTGAGACAATGTCCAAGTTCAACGTTAAAGGGAGGGATTTTAAATCAGAATAGTTTGAAGTTCTCACTTGACTGACTATAATGGAAGATTTCAATTCTTCAGCTTCAAAGTAGTCAACTTGACGTTTATCGTTGCATCATTGCGAGAAAAAGAAAGGAATCTTCTGAAAAGAATCTTTTCTGTTAACGTTACTGATGAACTTCAGGATTGCCTTCCACCTAATGTAATCTCATAGCGAATTCGTAAACACATTCTAAAAATCTCATCCGAATTCGGGTCTGCTGTTAAACAGCGCTTTGCATCTTGTAGGTCGGATTCATCTTCATCGTTAAAAAAGTACTTTCATCACCTCTGTATTGTAGACCCTTGTTTTGGGTGTCAACTCTGTCCATTAATTCACCAGCTGTCTCAGCAATCATTTTTTAAATTGATATGAGTTAAGTAAGTGAAACTATTTCTTTGGATGGAATGAAACCTTGTATCGTGAAAAAGTTTTCTCCACAAAAAAAGTTCATACGGTTGAACATATTGTCTCAGAAAAATTTAAAAGTAGAAGATATAAACGTGTTGCGCAAAAGTGGAAAGATGTTTTTTCAAGGAAAACTTGTTTGATTGGCTCGGTGAGCTCGCACTCCATCAATGCTAGAACAAAATCGTAGTATGGTGACGCTGCCTCGGAGGTATGTGTGTGAGCTTCATTATTTGATTTGCACAAAACGCTAAATTTTGGAGACGTAATTAAAATCCAAGTCAACAGATGTCTGCAAATGTCAGCGTCGAAGCAAACTGCGTCACACAATAAATACGCGCACCTGATATGAACATTTATATAAATTGATATATTTGTTTACGAGGTTCGTGGTTATCCGTATTAAAAAAAACGACGCGGATGTATTGCAAAAAGTATGAGCACTTTGCTCATGTGATTTAAATATCTGACTTCTGTGGAATTTTTGTGTGAAGATGATAGGTCTAACTTTGCTATGTATGATTTGGTAAGCAGGCACATGAAATACAGCGGAAGAGGATATATAGGGGGATGAAGGAAGATCACAACACTGCACCCTCCCAGAATGAAATTCTTAGATGCTATCTTGTGTATGACAATAAAATGAGTAATAATTTGCATATTTACCTCAACTGACCCAATACGACTAGGTATGCTGGTACTTCTGCTTCTGCAATGGATTTTAAACTATTTTAATAGAAAAAAGGTATAAAATTTAGCGACTTCTTTAACCATGTTACCTTAGAGATTGTAAATCCGATATTGGTCCATGCTGTTTGCTTAATATTAACTTTCTCACATGCAAGTACTGACGACGGACACTGTGGTCGATCTAGCACAAGAAGAAAGAATATAAAATTGAGATATGCAAAATTTTGTAGTGAAAACGCATCGTTGAATATTTTACACAGTTGAAATGCATTAAACATTTTATAATGAAAGATTTTAAACAAAATTGTAAACAAGATTGTAAACAAAAGAGATATAACGTTAGGATGTTCTGCGAGTTAGGATTCCGGGAAATTACATCTAAGGGTTAAAATTATTCCAAAACCTTTCTCAAGTTTGCCAAGCCTCAACTTTTCCGTCATTTATAGCCCCCTGTGGCGGTGGAAGATATTTTGCATTCAGGGGGGGGGCTGAATAACAAAAAATGCGTTGGGTAGGGCGTGGCACTTTGACTTGTAGTTGACGAACTCACCATCAATATCATTTTTTGCTTTTCTTGCTTCGGACTAGTAAAAAAGCTATTTATTTTAGACTGCGCCATATTGCAATTGCATTTACGCCATGTTCTAATAACAACTTTGGCGCGATTTTCTTCCAAGCATTAACTCCCAATACTTCAAGTAAATGAAAGTCTATAGGAGAGGCAAACTTTCAAAATGGCTGATAGTATTGAAGAGTCCATCTATGTCGATGATTTTCCCTTGTGAAACATAAACATATATTATGTGGAAAATATTGAAGAAGGTACTGTACTCTTTGAAGAAGGTACTCTTTGATTTAGGGGGCTTAGCCCCCCATCTGAATTATTGAGGAGGACAGCCCCCTTACCCTCCTTTTCCTCAGCCCCTATTATACAGCCATTGAAGGCCATTTGTGACGTCATGACCTTGGTGAACGTCACAGTGTTTATTAGTAAAATTGCAGTGGTGTTGTACTGTTTTGATTATCATAATGCAGTCCATCGTTTGTTACATGATTTGATTATTTCACAGCATTAATCATAAATGAGTGAATTAAAAAAAAGATCTTTAAACTTTGCCAGGAAAGATGTCTTAAAAAAAACCAACAAATACTTTCTACATTTTCCAAAGCTTGTCAAAGGCAAGAAAGCAACCATTTTATTGCTTGGAGAAGCAAATACAAAACATCATCACCTTTTATGCTTGTCCGAACTGAATAGTAAAGTGTTGACAGAGTCACATTCCGGCATTGATTTCCTTAGAGTTAAAGCTTGTGATCATTGAGATCACTGTGATCCCAATCCCTGAGAGCCTGAACACTAACTGTTTGCACTTTATTACCCTGAGCATGCATCAGGAGTGAAAGCAAAACAATTTCTGTGTTTTTCTATTGTAAAACATTTTCAATGATGCAATGGTAATAAATAAATGAAAATAGAAATATGTGTTTATTATTGTCAGTCCATATGTCCTGGTTCTCATGGCAGTGTACTTAATTACAGCAAAATTGAACATCTTTAACCACACCTAGTGTCTGTTCATTTGACACTCTGCTGATTTGACAGAATAATCAGCAATTCGGCATAATTTCCCTACGAAATCGTTCACATGAATTGATACATGCAAACCATTCATATGACATGTGCAAGTTAGTACAAATGCCAAGAAGGAAATATCTCAAGCCAAAATTAATAATTTCTAAATAAATGCTTTTGATTTCTAATGTAAACTAGTGAGGATACGTTGAGTTGGCAGGCTAAATCATAGAAAATGGTATTTGTTATTAAAATAAAATTTCCAGTGTCATCAAAAACAGCTTTCCCATACTTTTCCAAAGAAAATTGCTCTGTCTGGCAAATAGGACCCACACATCGAAATATATACAAGCCTTATGCATTTAGTTTCAAAATAAAGCATATTTACATATCACCTCAAAATATCAACTACCTCTACATTGCAAAAAAACCCTATATATAATGCTAGAAATTTTTCCTACATCTTTATTGGCAATCTCTCGCAGTAACTGAGTTCTTCTTCTTATGTACAAAGTCCCTATAAAGATAAACAATTGAACATAACATCCAGTATCATTCCACCTCACCTGGACATTCCAACGTAGGTAAAACAAACGGTTGGTTAATAATGTCGCACTTACTGTGCTGTGGATTCACTTGAGCTCGATACGTATTAAATATGGCATCCAAAGCAAGAATTTGTTGACAAACATTCATGCTTCCAATACGAATATATCAATAACAGCACTTTCCTTACTATTTTGAAATTGGCACCACATTCAACACAACAATCAGCACAACTATCAGCACAACTATCATCACCACATTCAACTAAAGTTTATCATTCAAAATGATAAGTTGAATAATCGTCTTTAAAACACATTTTCCATCAAATACAACAGTAAAAAACAATTCTTAACTGTTTATGACTATTTTACTGTCCTTAAACATCACAAAAAAAGTATAAAAGCCAAGAATTTGAAGAAAACAGTAAGCTTCAATTTACAGTGTACTTTTCACTTCTCTTATTTAGCGTATAATATAAAAACTACACGGTAGAATTTTTTAAACATTTGCATAGTACTCATATTTATATTGTCTAAAATATATCCAAAATCTGGAAAGTTCACAAAATTATAAATGGTAGAAAATCATCTACAAAGTTGGACGACACAAATGCGCGTGATATAATCTTATATAATTAAATTCCTATATCCATGTATTTTGCAAACAAAGGCCTATAAGTAAAAAACTACAATGTGGAATTTTTTTAAACTTGGCAATATTGTAGATATTCTTATTTTCTATAAGGTATCCAAAATCTGAAGAGTGCACAAAAAATTAAAGGGATTAAAATTCATTAAGAATGTATTCTGGTATAAACTGTGAAGTAAACGCCACATTCGACAAACAGCTCAAGAGCTAAAAACTACACGGTAGAATTTTTTTAAATTCAAGTATATTATAGAATTTTATATTGTCTAAATTATAACCAAAATTTGGAAAGTGCACAAAAATAAAAATGGTGGAAAAACATCGACAAAGTTGGGTGACTCAAATGCGCGTGATATATAGAAAGTTAATTATATGAGATTATATTACGCGCATATAAGTCATCCAACTTTGTCGATGAATTTCTACCATTTAATTTTTTGGTGCACTCTCTAATTTAAAAAATTCTACTGTGTAGTTTCTTATTTATAGGCCTTTGTTTGAAAAATATATGGATATCGGAAGTTAATTATATAAGATTATATTACGCGCATTCGTGTCACCTAACTTTGTCGATGTTTTTCTACAACTTAATTTTTTGTGCACTCTCCTGATTTTGGATATATTTTAGCTAATATAAATATGTACAATATGCAAAAGTTTAAAAAATTCTATAGTGTAGTTTTTTACTTATAGGCCTTTGTTTGTAAAGAACCGGAATTCTTAACTTAATTATATAAGATTATATTACATGCATTCGTGTCATCCGACTTTGTAGATGATTTTCTACCATTTCTATTTTTGAGAACTCTCCAGATTTTGGATGTATTTTAGACAATATAATTATCTATATTCTTGCTAAGTTTAAAAAATTCTACAATGCAGTTTTTAAATTATACGCTAAATAAGAGAAATGAAAAGTACACTGTAAATTAAAGCTTAGTGTTTTCTTCAATTTCTTGATTTTTATACTTTTTTGTCATGTCTAAGGACAGTAAAATAGTCATAAACAGTTAGAATTATTTTTTATGGTTGTATTTGATAGAAAACGTGTTTTAAAGACGATTTTTCAATTTATCATTTTGAATGATAAATTTTAGTTGAAATTGGTGATGAATGTTGTGATGAATGTTGTGTTGATTGTGGTGCCCAATGTGGTGCCAATTTCACAGTTATACTTCCTTTCATATGGCAAAGGAGAAATAAATTCAGCAACTGTACCAACGATGAACAGATCCGAGCAACGTAGAAATAGTCATTTTGTTCATGTATCAATTAATGGTTGGCATTCGCGTAACTTACGAATGATATACTGTTGGCTCAACGCACAGAAAATTAGAAAAAACTAAAATGATAGGTCATATATGGTCATACGTGCGTGTGGGCTCATATTTATGTGGATACAGCGGTCTTAAAACACTGTTTGTCATTGACATCTTTTGTGACCATGTTTATTGTTTGTCACATAAAAAGAGAATCCCATTACAAATATGAGTATTTGTAGACGGAAAAAGTTAAAAAATAAAAGACTTTTATTTGAAAATGCGTTATTTCTGATTTATGCTTGTCTAAACGTCTAAACTGCATGTAGTATTTTTTCTGCACTACTAAAAAGTTTGACATTAGTTGTATTTTTTCATGGATTGTAGGGGTGCAACATTGGCCAATGGGATGATGCAATAAACCTGTCATTAGCAAGCTATCAAATTAATCATATGATCAGATACTCAGGGATGGCCAAATAATTTGTCAAATTTTTAAAAACATTTCTATCAACCAATCCATAACAAGTCGCACATAACTTCATATCATTAGCCACCATTAATATGCTTGGAAATTTTGACTAAGCCTTCAACATGTTGCTTGGCAATGTGTGTTCCTTGGCAAATCAAAGAGAAATCCTAAAAAGGGAAGTGAAGAGGTGAAATCAATGAAATTGTCAAATGAAACTATATCAAAATGAATGTGTACTAGAGGACCTTTTCAGCAGCATATATAGAGCCTTCATGAGGTTGCCCTGTTGCAACCTCTGAAAGGTATGTGATTTGCTCTTGAAGACCTTTTTCAATACTCTGAAAATATCAATGGTTTAATTTCTGACTGCAAAATGACACAAAGACTGATCTTTTATGACTAACAAACATGATAACTTACAAAATGTGAAAAATAACACCACTACTATCCCAAAAATAAATGAAACTGTCCAAAATAGACAACTGGAGTCCTTGTTTTTATACATACAGAACAAAACAACATGGAAATATTTGTCACAATGCATTAATATGCCCCAAAAAACATTATATTGGACTAACATAATTTTTAATTCAATCCTGATCATAAATGGGAAAATTTATTTTGACAATTTGTGTACATGGATTGACTACTACATTTATTTGATGTCACGTTACTCTCATTGCAAGATTGCCCTATGCATGTGAATATCAATTAAACTTACCGATTACCAAAAATTTTGTAAGTGATTCAAGAAAATACAACAAAATACAACAATTTTGATCTGTACAAAAAAAACAAGGGTTGTGTTGTGCTGTTTCAGCCAAGCATACCAGCCAACATTGAAAAGTTTGTACACTACAAATCTGAGATTCAAAATTTGCAGGCATGAGCACCTACTTTTCTCAAAATTGTGCATCGTAGATCTCAAATATATACTTTACAGCATTACAAAACATATTTTCGGGTTCCAAAGCCAGTTGAAAGTATTTCATAAGTATAGCATAATTCCAAAATATAATGAAACAGGGATGGATTAAAGGTTTTTTTGAAAAAATTTTTTTCTTTATTCTTTAATTCAATTAAAGACAATTAAAGACAATTAAAGAAAACTTTTCGAGAAAACCATTAAAACTTTAACAAAATTTCAAACAAATTGTCAAAAAGGAAATATTTATTCCTGAGCTAAATATTCAATAGTGCTAAAATGCAAATATGAATTATAAATTTTTTACTTTGCTGTGCCAACATCTTGAGACTAACAAGTCACCAGGCTCTGTATTCTCATCAAGACAACCTCATATTACATAGTGAATGCACAAGTGAACCACGGAGAAAATACGCTATTATTTAATATTTTAATGTAACATTGGATAAACACTATTTCAGACATAAGAGCATAAATAAGGAACATTAAAGACAATTTTTAGTTTTGATTCAAATCTTCTTTAATCATTAAAGAAGATTAAAGAAAAAATGATTAAAGAATAAATGCCATCCCTGTAATGAAATGATTGAAATCTACGAAATTCGTCAAGTCTATGCTTAAGTTTTACCTGAAGTGAATTTAGAAACTGTTGAGTATATGTCTTGAAAGTTTCTTCACTGGGAATTTCTTTTGAAATTTCTTTCAAAGCATGGCCAGCATTTGAAACAACGAGCACAATTTCCTTAGAAGTCAAAGCATATAATTTACAGGTCTCAAGAAAAAGATGTAATGGAATTGACACGCCATGCTTTATCGCTGAAACCCTTCTTACTTTTCAATTTCCTGAAGTTGTCTCAAACGATCTTGAGATTGCGAAGCAGACATGTTTGACGTTTTACAAAACAAACCTTTGCATAATTAGCAGTTAAAAGATGTACTTTTTCATAGTATTAACGTGCCAGAGCTGTATAACTGCTCACTTTAAAGTAATTATCCTTAACGATAGGAATTTTATATTGCAAGGTATTTCCACTGATCTGTATATTAATTACCTGGGCGGGAAACCCATTGAGCTCTATAAGACCTGGAGGGGAAAAGGGGCCTGGACCCATTGAGCTCTATAAGACCTGGAGGGGAAAAGGGGCCTGGACCATTGAGTTCTATAATAACTGGAGGGGGAAAGGGGCCTGGACAACGTGGTGAAAAACATGGCGGTAATGGCGGATTTTGGTCATTGAGTTCTATAATAACTAGAGCGGCTATCTCAAGCGCGGCCTTAGATATCTGATGACGCCAAAAAAATGGCGGATTTCGTCCTTTGCCGCTGAGATTTACCGAAATTGACCGCTTTTCCGAAAATTTCACAATTTCCCACTCCCTCCTGAGGAAAGAGTGAGGAAAATGTATGTGTGTATTTGGGATTCGGCAAGCAATTTTTTGATGAAAATGAAGGTAAAACCTTAAATTCATAACAGCGAGTCAACTGTGGTTGTCAGTTGTCTGCTCCTAAGAGGATGCATTTATAACTATCGACGAAAGACCTATATGTCGGCTACACATGTATGAATTCAGATGTGAGTCCTTTTCTTACCAGCGTCAAACTTGTTTGATCGATTAAACTCTTTAGTCTATACAAAAAAGTATATCATAGTTCATCTCCACGGTTCACGAGAGAGAAGTTAGCTTATTTGTTATCATTGCTATTTTGCTTCTTTTCATGCAATGGGCAATGCCTTTTTTCGCCACAGTTGTAGGATTTTTACTTGTTTCTTTAAAAAAGTACATATTAAATCTCTGGATATGTACGGATTTTCTGTAATTGAGTTTCATATCAAATTTCAAAAAGGCTCAAGTCTGCATAGGTTTGGTAAATGAAAACAAACAATATTGTATAGAAATTACTTTAAGTAACCTTTTTGTGATGTTCTGAAGTGCAACTGCATCAAATACTTTTAAAGTTGTAGCACATTTTGATTTTGTTGTATTGATATATGAATTGGGCAAAATGCAAATAATCATCAAAACACTTATGCTTCCAATGGTGTTTATAATTCATTTGTAGTTTTAATACTTCTACCTTTCTTTTTCACTTTGTTTTGTTTTTCCTATATTTGCAATAAAAGTGCACTATAATTTGAATGATTAACACAGTTTTCACCTCAATAATAAATTTCATAAGCAGTTGGTAGTGCATTTTGTTCTCTGAGTATCCACATCTAGTGTTTTGTTCATACAAGAATGATGAAGTGCAAGTAGATATGTCATAGCAAGGCAATAAAACCAAATGAATTACATACCTATAGTGTACTTTTATGCTAGAAGCTTAAAAGCTTTTTTAGAAATTAGAAAGTTATTGGATTATATTACCTCTATATCATCAATCTCATGATAAGAAATAAGAAGCAAAAAATTAGTAGAAAAGCTTTGAAAAGTGAAAAACTTTTCTTCAAAAAAGCAGCAATAATGCATATGATAAATCTCCATTCTGTACTCTAATAGGTAAATAAGCTCAAATTTTTCTTAAAGAAACATAAGAAATATATAAGAAATATACAGTACAGTAACTTTAAAGGTTTCATCACTGAATCTTTAATGCTTCAGTATAGTGCATTAGATATTAGTAACATTCAAACAACACTCAACTAAAATATTTTGATAAAGATATGACATGATTTAAACATTAAGTTACATAAAACCCAATGGCTTATACAGTTTGAAGCTTCACATCTGCATCGAGTCATCATCAATCTCAGTACAAATGTTTACATAGACACAAACTTTATGGCCTTCCATTTTACATGTTTGTGAATTGACATTTCATTAAGCATCAAAACACACACAACCTTCTTGCCATCTTTCTTTGGATCATGAACTTTAACTTCAAAGCATTCAAGGCATCCTTAGTGAATCCATTGTCTCCATCCATAGAATTTGACCACGATCAAATTAAATAACTCTGGATAGGGCAGACAATAAATCAATTATCTTTACAGCATTATCATTTTTTAAGACTCTGCCTGGTCAATAACATCTTCCAGTCATCTTTCTCCTTGATCTTCCCTGCATGTTGTCAGCAAATAGAACATAACAAGCTCTGCTCCAAATCATGGGTACCGTTGGGGCTGATCATTTCTTTTTGATACTCACAGAGCAAAATGTGTGCAGGGTCTTTTTTGCTTTAGGGAAACTATTTTGCAAATAAATGGGTAAATTTACGATTTCATGCATTAACAAATGACAGAAAAGTATGCAGAATTTTATAAACAAAAACAGGAAAACATCAGTATATTTGGCGTTCAAGTCAGTCTTAAAAAATACGATCTTTAATATGAATTTTATGGCTTTTCAAGTACATGTATAATTGCTTTTCAATCGTTGACGGACTAACAAAACAAACAACTACCTCACCTGTGAGAAGCGATATGTTCTTTTTTGTGGAAACAACGACATCCAACAATTGAACGATTGAAGTGTTGGCATTATAAAAGAAATGCCAAAAAAGAATCGTCACAGAATATGGAACTAACGATATCCATATTCTGTGATATCGTGTTTGTTTTTGAAAAATTCTTTATAATTTACTATAGACACCAGGGGGAGGTCGAGAATATTATTTTTCTGCAAAGCGATCATTTCAGCGGAAATACGTACTTACCCCTACGACTTAAGTCGACTGGAAATATATTATAAGTAGGTATGTAATTTTTTGAGTTTTTTTGGTAGGATTGATTCTTGGTGTCTTATAAGGTATTATGATATTCTGATAAATCTACTGAGAACTTATGAGGAAAACGTCTTGAAATAGGAGAGCAAAAGAACGAAATTCAGAAATTCTATAATCATGTTGCTGGTTCTGTTTTGAGCCAAGATATTAGAAACTGGATTGTCATTGACAACCATGGATCTGCTACTGAACAGAACTACATTAATTTTCCATTGAAAATACTATTTCTTAAATTAAAGTGCATTGGTTTCTCTAACATAACACTTTCCTTATTGCTGCATGAAGGCAAACCTGTTTAAATAATTATAATGTAGGTGAAGATATATAGCATGTTGTATAATTGTTATTGCACAGATATCTATAATATTATGGCCTTGTGTAATGTATGTCAAGAACTTATTAATTCTCAAAAATGCCAACCTTCTTGCACTACTTTTCTCTTGTGTCCTTACAAATTACAGTTACCTATACTTATTTTTTCTAGGTTCAAACAACTTGACAAACTTTTGAATTTTACATTATGCCTTTGAATTTTTCTTTTTGTCTTTTGGTAAAAATATCAGTGAATGACTTAAAAATCAAGTTTATCTAAAATAGTATTTTGTACAAAGTAACTATACATAATTGGAGGCAGATGTGGCTTCTTTTACTAGATTGCTACTCTTATTCATTTAAATGATATCATAATTCTTCAAAAGACATAAAAAGTTCTTTGCCATCAATTTTTGCTTCTTCCACATTCAACTTCATTGCAACCAATGCATCTTATGTGAATTTTTAATCACCTGGAATTGAAAAACGTATGGATTTTGTCCGATGATGCAGTACTATATTTAATGTTTCATGCATGTCATCATAAGCTTTTCTTGAGCAAATATTTCAAGGTAGGAGCAAAATTTGGCACGTTATTGAACAAAGTAGTTTTCATCTTGATTTTGATGTACTAACCTGTTTACTACACTGTATAACAAACAATTCATTTACAGAAAAACCAGATGGCATTTATAAAACTTTTAGCATAAAGCAAACCTTTACACACCATCATCATGATTGTCCATAATCTGTCAAATTGCCCAGGCTAGCTGTTTAATACAGGTATTTTTTATTGTACGACATGTACCAAAGAGTTCATTAATTAATCCTGCAGTGCATTTCTTTTCAATACAGCTCTGTCCTTAATGTTTGCTTCATATTTTCAGAAAAATATCATGAAAAAAATCCTCCATTTCAACTCAGTTGAAACAAGGAGTTTTAAGTTATGCACATGTCGATAATGTTAGTCATTAAAGAACTGGTTGCTTTGCCTCGTCTAGCAAGCGATTAAGTAAAGAACAAAAAAGACTGCATAAACATAACTTAAATTATAACTTAGGAGTAAAAACATTCACAAAATATATACCATCACACTTCAAGTATTGACTTAAAACAAAACAGTGAACACTTTAAATGGTAAACAATCTTACGTTGCTCACCGGTGTCATGAAATGTTTCCTTTTCTGGCATTACTTCAGCATCCGTACACCAAATAAGTTTGCAGCATGTTTTAAAAATAAAATGTCTAAAAGTTTTTGTGCTTGGCATTCATATTTTATATAATCGCAATTGTGGTTATCAAATCTGGGTGGGCGAAAAAAATTTTATTTTATGAGCCCGCGTCTTTCCGCTGACTTTGACAACCAAAATCCGCCATGTTTTTGACCACGCGGCCGCGGGCTAATAATTTATAGTAATTTGGTTGACGTTTCCCCTCCAGGTCTTATAGAACTCAATGGGAAACCCTATGAACTCAAACACAACTGGAAAGCTAACTTGGCCGCCATCGTCGAAGCCTACATGATCGCCGCCATTGAGGGTACGAAGGCGAAATACATCACTTCGAAATTGCTGGATTAAAATGAACAGACTGCAAACAATAAAGATAGCGAGGGAAAGGTTTCATTGATGCTAATACTCTTATAAATGCTGCTCAGTAGTTCTATAAATTCACACAAACATTGTAATAATGAACTTGGTAATGATTACATCAAAACTAACATAAAAGAGATGCTTTGTACAATATATGGAGTTAAGACTTTCTTCTAAGATCTAAACTTAAATTTTTATCCAAGTATAGGTTATGATTATGGCTATAAAAGTTTAATCTAGATTTCCTCATCTGACAACCATCCACAATTGTTATTATTTCAGGTGACCCAGGATTCACTACATTAGTATAGTTGCAATGAAGTTGAAGGCAGAAGAAAGAGAAATGGATTGGAAGAACTTTTTTGTCTGATGAAGATGAACTGGAAATAAATAAATTGAATAATTCAAATAAAGTTCAAATCATAAAAAGTTTCCAATTGCAAAGTGGGAAGGTAAACCTGTGCAGACATGTGATCTTGCAAAAATCTCTTTGTTGGTTTTTTGATTCGTTAAACAAGTTATTTTACCCAAGTTTGATTCTTATCAAATTACACAATGTCAAAATATTACATATAATGCACCTTAATATTTATAAACCTTGTTAGATGTTGTGAAACTACTATTTCAACATTTTTGCTTGTATGCCAGCAATATACAACGTTTTCTCAGAGAAACTAACAAACAATTGTTTATTTTGCTGTAATTTCATTAAAAATTGATGTAGTTCTGTTCAACAGTTGGTTCACAGATGTGGTGAATAGTTTAAAATTCTGTTGTATTATGATATTTTGGCTCAAACTATTTACAACCAACAACAACAGATTTACATGTTAATTGATAATATCATAGCATTCTGAATTTTGCATTGTTCTTTCTTCTAGCTCACCAAGTTCCAGTGGCGTGGTGGCAGGGGGGGCAGGAGGGCCAGGGCCCCCCTAGCTGTTTATTTTAGGGGGCGCTGAATTGGATACGAGTAATCAAGTTTTAAATATGGGCTGTAAAAAATTAAAAACGCATTTGAAACAGAACAATTATTTTCCCAGTTATATATTCAGTGAATGAAGTTAACTTTAGGGAATTAGGGAAGAAAGGAAGTAGACGGACCAAAATGAAACCTTGTCAGGGGGTCGATTAAAGAATAAGATATTGATGAGCATTCTAGAATTAGATGTTTCGTCTGTGGCCACAACGCGTGCATGATTTTGTCACGATGACTGTAGACAACATACATGCAGGGGAGAAACTAGAACGCTAATTGGGGGGATGAATATTCTTATATTCAGCTTTGCCCCGCTGATTTCTATTGAATTTAACATCGCCAACAAAAGAAATCAACAGCAAGGCAGAGCTGAATATATGAATATTTACACCACCCCCCAGTTAGCATTCTAGTTTCGCCTATGCATACACGGCCAAACTGTCCTCTTAAGGGGCGCAACAAGGCCTAAAATGTGTAATTTTTTGCCTATCTTAATCAATGTTTTTTGCTTCCCTCACAGACAGTAATCGTTACTGGCATTGTATCTTATGATTAATCCGAGCGTAGTAATATATTTTTTAAAAATGACAGTAGTGCAGTCATCGGTAAATCGCTATCATAAATCATAGTCTAACGTGAAGTAGCCCTTAATGATACCGCAGCATGTACTGTGTAATTGTTGGTATTGTGTTATTTACATTTTCATCGTTACGACGACACATTTGTCATTTTCAGTAGTAAAGCAAGTTATTATACGGTAAAACTTTTAAATCACTTAAAGCTTCTTCGTAAATGTTCAAGATTCATTTATCCGCAGTTATCGAATGTGAATAACAGCATACATTTAATTGAAATTAAGATATTTTTTAAACAACAACATTTGAAGACCAATTAAATTAATGTCTCAAAATGCAAAACTCTCATTTTGAGCTTCCATTGCTGGCAATACAGATTTAATTCACAAAACAAACATTTCATTTGATAATTCCATTTGTGTGGGGAATCTATTTTAATATTATTTATTGTACATCATGGATCATGGGGCAATGTTAAAGACTAACTACAATGTCTAATTCTTTCAACACCACGAAGAGAAAAAAGTCGGGTGCTGAGTATCGGAGATTAAAGAAAGCTAGATTAGAAGAATTTTCGAAACTTGGGGGAGTTTTGCTTGATTACTTTAAACCTATACAAAATTACCCACCATGCATTTTGTTACAAACAACAGAGGAGTTAGAATTAAAACTCAGGTAAACGCCGAGCATAAGTGAAGACCTTAAACAAGTGCATGCGCAAGAAATGTCTGAGTCGACAGATGTAAACGATCAAGATGAGCATACTTTCAAATAAATAAAAAGCAATGATTCTGTTGGTGAATGCCCTGAATTTGACAGCTTTGTTAATTCAAATGAACGTAACGAAGGCGAAGGCATCTCAGAATCTGCTGAAAATGAATTGAATCGAAATATTTCTATTGATACGAAAGAAAACACTTATGTCCCTGGGACAGTTGTTGGTCTTAATCTTAGCATTAGCGAAAAAAGGCGTTTACTTAAAATAAATCCATGCCAACCATCCCAGTTTGCTTTGAAACAAAGGAGGATAGTACAAGGAGATCGCACTCGCTATTGCTCCCAGCAGGTTTTTTTCCACGATGATGGAACAAGACGAAAATGGATTTCCTACTCTCTAAGTGAAGACAGCTTGTTTTGCATACCGTGCATTCTGTTTACAGATTTAACGTCTAGGGGAGAAAATATTCGGTCAAATCAAGGAAGATCTTTTGCAAGCATTAGTTTCTCCAAATGGAAAAAGCAGTATATTAGAATTCTGGAGCATGAAAATGCAATTCTCATCTAAACGCAAAAGTTGCAGAAGCTCTTTTCCTTCAAGAAAACTCAATATCGGATCAGTTTCATCACCAGGGGAAAATCGAGTCTGAAAGACGTAAAAAGGAAGTTGTTTTAAACAAAACAGTTTTGAAATGTGTGATAGATGTTATTATGTTTCTTGGAAGACAAGGGCTTTCCTTTAGGGGTCACTGTGAATCACTGACAAATTTCTATCTTAATACAGAAAACTTTTTGGAAACGCTTAAATTATTGTCAGAGTACGATGAACCCTTCAATGAGCATCTTGAGAAAGTTCGTGATCACCAAGTGAAGCAATCGACAAAGGATGGTGGTAAAACTGATGTAAAAGGAATCAAAGGACGTGGCTCATGGCTAACGTTTTTGAGCAATGATATTCAAAATAAGTTAATATCATTGGTAAAGAAATATCTTCTATAATTGTACAAAAAATACGAAACTGCAAAGCATGGGCATTGATTGCTGATACAACACCCGATATAACTCATACAGAGCAATTGAGTATATGCGTAAGGCTTGTTAATGAAACTGGCGAGTGTTCTGAACACGTTTTGTCATGCCCAAAAGCAATTGGAACAACTGCACATGACCTATACACTGCTATTACAACAATATTACAATTGCATGGAGTTTCATTTGAAAAGCTTGTTGCCCAAACGTATGACGGAGCATCCAGTATGAGCGGATGTTATAATGGTTTGCAGGCAATTGTAAAAGAGAAAATCGGAAACCACATCATCTATGCTCACTGCTATGCGCATACGCTAAATCTCGTCTTGTCCGATTCAGCTTGTGTTGCTATTGATGTCATTACTCTTTTTGACTCTTTCGAAAAACGGCACGTTCTCTTTAATAATTCTCATAAATAACACGAATTGTTTCAATTGGTTCAAAAGAATGAAAACCTCAAAATTTTTTCGATTTAACGTCTTAATACAGTTCGATGGAATGCAAGAGAATTTTGTCTAAACGTATTTCTTTTAAGGTTCAAGTGCATCATGCGAGTGCTCCAAAAAGTGGCTGAGGAAAGGTCGTTCACTGAAAGCCAGCGAGCAACAGCAAATGGATTGCAAGCAGCTTTTCAGACAAAGCAATTTGTTGCGACTGCCTGTCTTTTCCAAGAAATTTTTGGAATTATTGGACCTTTAGTCGATATCTACTGAGCGTAAATGCTGACTTTGGAAAAGCAATGGATATGGTTGCTAGCTCAATTTCTAGAATTCAAATCACACGTAACAAACCAGAAAAAATCATTGAAATGTCCGATACTTTTGCGTTAGATGTCGAATTGAGGTCTACACGACCTCGTCGTCGACGACCAATGGACGGAGAACAAGCCAGAGATGATTTGGCAGATTCCCCAAAAGCACAATGGAGGCGAGACACATTTTATAAAGTGCTAGATTCCATTCAATCTTCAATGAAGAATCGTTTTGAAAAGAATCGACCACTAATGAAATCATTGGCTTTATTCGCACCTAATCAATTTGACGAGCTCTCGAGCAAGTACAAGACACCTCACGGTCTTCAATCTGCAGTGAAAGCCTTTTGTGATGTGTATAAGATAGATTCCCAAAGATGCGCTACTAAACTGTTAAGCTTTGCAGAAACATTTAAAAAATTTCACTGTTCTCAGTTTTCAACTCAAAATGACCATGATCATAATGAGCAGAACTTTGAAACTATCGATGATGGTGATGGTGATGATGATGATGAAAATCATTCTGATACTGACATAAGTAAGCATTCGAATAATGCGTCAATTACCGAGAAGGCTAAAAATCCGTCATAACTAGATGCCTTGAAGCTGCTTTGTTTTCCAATGTACAATTTAGTCGACGCATACCCAACATTATGCAAAGTTTATTCAATTGCAGTGGCCATACCCATTAGCTCAGCAACTGCTGAACGTTCTTTTTCTTCGTTGAGGAGAGTAAAAACGAGAATTCGATCTACGATGGTACAGGAACACCTGGAATCATTGCTTTTAATGGAAGTTGAAAGGGAAACTCTCCTTTTTATCGACAAAGATAGAATCATAACTTTACTCGGGAAAACCTCCCCAGCGCTTGCAAAGGCATTAATATAAATATATTTTACTATGAAAAACAAATAACGTAACAGACATATAATTGCTTGATGATACTTGGTTTTTTAGTTACTTTCTTTTTTATGAAGATTCATGTTTGTGTTTTATAAAATAAAAATAAATGAAATACTTGAAAATAGCTATAAGAAAAGGTGAAAGGGGCGCAAAATTTGTGTTGGCCACCGCAGTAAAAACACTGCCAAGTTCAAGATATTTTTTAACATATCCTCGGTAAAAACTTTCTGAATTTCATTTTAGTTTATATACTGATAAGACCCTACCAGTATCACTCTATCCTAGCAAAGTTTACTTAAAATTTAATGACTACAAACTTTACACTTAGACTTCGTCAAGATTTATCTAGCATTCTGCTTTACTGATAATACACTAGCCAGTAAAAACTTTATACTTCGTCAAGATTTAGCTAGTCCAACATTTTTTGGCTCCTTTACGAGCATTGTTTATCCATTTTTGTTGAGTTAATCGATAAAGATAAGTGAGCGAGCGAAGTGTTCATACTTTAACATCTGTAAGACATTCTCCATCCCACAGAATGCCGTTTATATTGATTAACAAAAGTTTCTTTACCGCAGATTTTTTTATCATTATTGTGCGTGTATTTCATAAAACCCAAGGCATATCGTTCTAGGCTCCGTTTCAGGCCCCGTTTCCTTTCCAGGTAATTTGATAGAGCTCAATGGGTATTTCACATTCTCAGGAAAAGGTTATCTGAAAATTGGGAAATCAGTGCAGTTGCGGATCTAGTGTACCTACGTCAAAATAAATCATTTAAGAAATAAAAGATGTTTACTGTGTTTGTACAGGCTTATGCAAACCGAGGAGACATTTGGGAGAACTCGAGAGTATGGAAAGCCGTTCCGGCCAAAAGCGTATCGAGTTTAAAAGAGGATACCGAGTCGCAAATGTGCTACCGAGAATCACGTGCAACATGGCCGAGTTTTTAAAGATGAAAAACACTGTTCCGAGAAATTTTACTACCCAGAATATTTCAACAAAAAATAGCCTATCGAGAACAAAAAGAGGTGGAAAGGATCTCTCACAAACAGCAGGCGACAATAACTGAAGTCTTAAAACAAAATGGCGGTCAATAAGCAAGCGTCAACAATTGAAATACCTTCTATTTTAAAGAGACTGTTCTTCTTACTGGCCCCTGTGATCATTGTGTCCCAAGACAAAGAACTAAGCTGTATTTAAAAAAGCACCAAGATATTGTCTGTTGAGTATAATTTAGCAAAGAGTGGTCAGAACAACAAGTGGTACAAAAAGTAAAAAGTTTATTTGGGCTAAAGTTAATGCATTACAACTTTGAATTTCTTGAATCAGTCTATACACAACTTGTACCACCCACATTACCACCTGGTGAAACATATAACGGAACAATGTTTTTCACAGTATTTAAACATAAAGTGGTGTATGTTAGACCATCAGTTCAAATTATTCTTTTGTCGCCTACTAAATCTACTAAGAGGAAACATGTTTTAGAGGACAGTAATGATCATTTGTCAAGTTGGCTGATGAAGGGCATAATGACACTGATCATGGAGCTTCTTCGCATAAGT